ACACCCTTGGGGAGAGGGAGAGTCCGAATGGGAGCACCCTGAACTGAAAATGACGGCCTCTGAAGGCAAAGCGAAGAAACTGCCTGTGATGAGGTACAATAGGCACATGAAAATAAGCGTCCTTTAAATCGATGGACGTGAACCATTCCCCCCTGGCAACGGTAAGAAGAACGTCCGCTGTGCTCAGCATATGGAAAGGTAAGATCTTTAGGAACTTGTTGAGTCCCCTTAGATCTAGGATTGGGCGAAGTCCACCGCCTTTCTTCCTTACTTTGAGATGGGGTCTACAGGCTCGATTGCTCCTTTGGCAAGGAGGACTGACAGCTCCTGGTTTAGGGCGATTTCTTTTGCCGGGTCGCTTATGGTGGTCATTTTGACCCGGCTGAAGGCTGGGGGTCGGCGTCGGAACTGAAGCTTGTACCCTTGGGTTAAGGTAGAAACCTTAAAAACGGGAAAAAGTCTTAGTGTCCCTCCAGCATGCATGTAACTCCCTCAGATACTCACAAGAGGGAGGAACTGCAAGGGTGGCGGGTGCCAAAGTGCGCCTGAAGAACGCACTGCTAGGCACTGTTTCGGGCTGCTGTACATCCAACTGCTGGCGAGCCAGTGCCATGCGGATGACGGTACTCATGGAGCCGACATCCGCCCCCCCCGAGGATGCATGATCTGAGGTACAGGAGCCAGGCCCAGAAGCCTGGGACGGGCCCTCTCCTTCATACTCATTAAATTGAGTGGCTGAAGCTGCCAATGAGAACACATCGTCCTCTGGAATCAGTTCAGGCATGGGTGGGCTGGGTGGACTGGGTGCAGCGGCGTGCTCTGTACTGACACCAGAATGGAGAGCCAAGAGGATTGACTTCATCTGGGCAACCTCAGTAGTGAGTCGGTCCACCCTAGAGGACAGCCTATCAGGCTTAGTCCTTTTCTTGGGCGGGGCACCTGCAGCCTCTGCTGCCCGACGCCTAGGACGGGTAGGTTGGGATGTAGTCGACTGTGCAGGGGGAAGGCCACCCTCAGTCAGTAGTTCAACCCTGGCTAGTCTAGCAGCTCTTACCGCACGAGGCATGATGGTACAATTCATGCACGAGTCCTCCGAAAGGCCCTCCCTCAGATGCTCGAGGCCAAGACAAGAGGGGCAAAGGTCATGGCCATCCTCTGGTTGCAGAGAAGCCATACAGGTGTTACAGCCGTTAAACATAGCGCCACTCTTAGGGGAAGCACTCAGCTGACTGTAAATAACTGGCCAGGAAACAAACTCCACAATGGAGGGGAGTGAGCACAAAGTAGTTAGCATGAGCGTACGCACTCTGCTAACTGGGATGCGAACAAGTGTGTGGTCAGTTAGTGGTATGCTGTGGGAGGAGAGCGGGAATACTCTCTCCCTAGCGCCGTAGCAAGTTAGCCTGAGCGAAAGCACTCTGCTAACATGAGATGGAATGGTTCTTAAGACAACTGTGTGCAGGGAGAGGGGAGCGGAAACACTCTCTTCACTAGCGCTGTAGCGAGTTAGCTTTGAGCGAGAGCACTCAGCTAACTGGAGGATACAACAGAACCCAACTGTGTGCAGGGAGAGGGGAGCGGAAACACTCTCTTCACTAGCGCTGTAGCGAGTTAGCTTTGAGCGAGAGCACTCAGCTAACTGGAGGATGGAACAGAAACCAACTGTGTGCAAGGAGAGGGGAGCGGAAACACTCTCTTCACTAACGCTGTAGTAAGTTAGCTATGAGCCAGAGCACTCGGCTAACTGGAGGATGGCACAGGAACCAATTGTGCGCCGTGGAAGGGCGAAGACACTCTTTCACTAGCGCCGTAACAGTTAGCTTGAACGGGAGCACTCAAACTAACTGGACGATATACAGGTAAGGAATTAAATGTCTGTAGTGAGAGGAGGGCGGAGACGCCCTCTTCACTTAGTGTAGTAACAGTTAGCTTGAACGGGCTAGCACTCAGCTAAATGGACGATAGAATCAGATAAGAAACCAATGTATGTAGTGAGAGGAGGTGCGGAGACGCTCCTTTCACTAGTGCAGTAACAGTCTAGCTTGAACGAAAGCGCTCAGCTAACTGGACGATAGAATTAGGTACGATAGAATAAAATGTTTGTAGTGAGAAGAGGGCGGAAACGCTCTCTTCACTAGTGCAGTAACCGTTAGCTTGAACGGGCTAGCACTCAGCTAACTGGACGATAGAATCAGGTAAGTAACCAAATGTTTGTAGTGAAAAGAGGTGCGGAGACACTCTTTTCACTAGTGTAGTAACAGTTTAGCTTGAACGAAAGCGCTCAGCTAACTGCGCAGTGACAATTAGCGAGAGCCCTCGGCTAATTGTATACAATTATCTCATTAGTTTGAGAATATATAGCACAAACAGCAAAACCGGTAGCGCCGGCTGACGTGCAGGAGCGTCCGCTCTTTACCGATCCGGAGCTCCTAAGATCCGAGCGGTGAACACCGCGGTCCCCTCCCTTGGGAGGACGGACAGCTAGCTCGTCGCAGCCTTTGGAGGGCGAGCGTCTTTCTAGCCCGCAGCTCCGATCTAACGATCACAAGTCTACAGATAGCGATGAGCTAGGATCTTAATTGTTCAGTAAGCTAGCTTTGGCTTCTACTCATAAAGTAGTAACCTACGCTGCGAGAAGATGAAAAGGACTGAACTCGTCGACGGCACCGGAACTTATGCCTTCCGGGTCGTACGAGGTCACACGTGACTTTGTTGATATAAATATTCGACCTACGCATGCGCGAGACAGAAGATATCCAGTGCTAAAGCACCGCCTCTGGCGGTCAGTAGGTATGAAATAGAACTGAATATATCTCCTTCCCTGCCAAACACCCTGTCCTGCTTTAGAAAGGTATGCGGTTAGAATAACCTAGGAAAATCGCCAAGCATTAGGGAGGAAAGCAACGAAATGTGTCATAAAATAACCATATTCGTTATGCCTTATCAGTTAAAATGTTAAACATATATTTATACAGTAGATGTCATTCAGACAAATGTATAGTTTAGGAATTCCTAAAAAAAAAAAATTGCAGCTCTTTCTGTTCCAAATGTATCTAAATCCCTTGTTTTACACAATCTTCCTGCAGATATATTTGGTTAATTGTACAGTTTATCAATTGTTTTTCTGCTACGCATTAAATGTAATATGGAATATCCATAAAATGTATCTCTCAATCAGGGGCCATCATTTAACTCAATGGTAGAAAGGGGAAAGAGGTTTGGAACAACTATTCTATTTACAGTAAACTACTACCACCTACTGGTTATCATTCAAACTACTAAAAGTCTCAAACTTCAGTCCTGCACACTTGTGACTGTGCAGTATCGTTTGTGTGTATGTGTGTGTGCAAAAGATCACCAAGGTCATGTTTCTTTTGAATATATTTAAGTTTTTTACTTTGAACACACATTTGGACTGATATACTGTATATCTTACTCACCCATGATATTGTTAATAGGTATACAACTTAAACTATGGGTGATTAAATAAATACATGTATAAAAATGAATATTCAAATATTCCCAAAAATATTAATTAACAAAATAAATACATCATTAAAACATTCTTTAAGGACTGATAAAGGGTCCGGGGTCTATAACAGTATACCCTAGTATCTAGGTACATAGAAACAAGCACAAGAGGAACATATCCTTAATGTATTCTATTGTATTACATACTGCATGTCATAATCATTAGGCCCCAGCAGTTACATATTTTTTATGGGCAAGTGACATGGTCCTCTCAGCTGTCCCGAGCCTCCACTAAATGAAGCAAGATGATCTCGATGTGCTCTGCTGGAAGTCGGCCAGTAGCAGCATAACATAACCAGCCGGGGTGAGTGTCCAATAACAGGCCTTTCAGCACAGCCTGTGCTTTAAGCCTGCATTAAATCATACACGTGCTGGTGTCAAAGCTCTAACAACAGGAACAGACAGACAGAGGCTGCTGGATTCTTTTGTGACGCATCTAATCAGCATGTTTGTCTTACATGTCTGGTTTAAATGTGTAAACTGATTTGTCTGCTTTCTTGTCTACAGGCTAAACTATAAAACCTACAGGAGACATCACAACCACTGGCAGTATTTGAGCTCTGTGTCATCAAATCTGAACCCACTCACCAGAACTTGCACCAAGGTGGCATGGTGAGTCAGAAGACTTTATGATCTGCTTCAGGAGATTAGGCAGGTGATTGAATCACTGCTTGATTCAGAGGTCCTACTTTTTAGCTGGGAACAAGGTAAGGTATTGCATCAAAAAGCAATCACAAAAGAGTGTGAAAGATGTTCCTTGAATTTAATTCATTCATGTTTACATTTGATTCGGTTATTAGAGGGCAAATAAACCAAGAGCCAATCATTTATGTTAGTATATTATTATGACAAGGGAGATGCAGTACAGAACACCTTTCTGATCAGTGGAATAACATAATTGTGTCAACCAATATATTGTAACATCTTACCAAATGACATATTACAATATTTTAACATTTTAAAGACAAGCAGGAAACAAATGGTTACAAATAAGTATACTACCCTTTACTGCACCTTTTGAGACACAATTCTCTGTTTTTTTGCCTTCTGTGTGAAACTTTACCTTACTTTTCTTATTATTTTAAAGTCAGATACTTATTTTTCACCATCTGTCAACAGTCACGAAAAATTAATACCATTTGAAAAACGGGAGGAACCTAAAAATCGGCTTTTAAAACTTTTAACCAGGACTCTGTTGTAAAACAACATAACCAAACACAGATGACTGTACCATGTCTGTCACGCAGGGGTAACAGTGTAAAGTTTGGACAAACTGTCGTGTTTAGGAAAACACGGTAAATAATAAAGTTTTTACCGAACATATTTGTTGTATTTACTAATAGAATAGCAACACGACTGCTTTAGACGCTTTTTGTGACAAGCTTGAAGTGCATTGAGTGTATAAAACTGAGCTTGGCCCCCGGCTGGCTGAATAGAGTAGAACAATCCAGTAGACCGAGAAAGAGAGAGAGAGTGGACGACCCAAACACGGACGGTTAGCAGCAACTATCAACCAACGGCCGCCTGACAGCCCTTTAAAATAGCAAATTCTTCAGCGGTAAAACAAGAAAAATGTGACCAAGTGAGAAGAGCAGCTTGGCGAAGACTGTCAGAAACGCATGACAACCAACTTTGGTTGTTAAGAGAGGCGCACCATGGCATCTCAGCCGAGGTAGGCAGACACAGCTAGCTGCTAACAGCAGGGCGCTAGCTCTTCAGCCTGACCGGGTAACTACCCTTAATTAGCTAGATACGGTTAGTCTGATAACTAGCAGCGCACTTGAGCAAAGTCAACTTTAAGTTTGTAACTCTGCAAAGGTATCAGAATTAAAGGGGTGTTTTTTTGTTGTTAATGGTAAACCGACATAGAGGATTTTGGCTTTGGTAAGCAGTACGAGGAAGAGGTGGAATCAGCTGGAAAAAGCAGGCTGGTGTGATTTCTACCAGCTGGTTAAAGGGACTGCTGTGTGTATACGAGCTGTTCTTTTTAAATGAACAGCCACATGTTTAATTTATAAAGCATTCTTACAAGTGATCCTCAGTGAATTCTTATCTGCCGTGTTTTGACCAACTTGGAACTTTGGTTTAAAAGTTGGATAACAACAGAAAGCTATTTTCCTAAAAATAGAGGACAGATAGGATGCTCAACTGAACCACCCTACCACTAAATTATAATCTGAGCAGAATATATTACATTTAAGGCACAATTATGCCTAACATGATTTATTTTCTCCTGTAATCATGTGGCTTCAACTATTATTAACTCAATTAAATGACAAACAACATCCAACTTTTTAATTTATCTTAACATATTTATTATTGCAAAAAAAAAAAATGCTATTCAGCTGCTTCAACATGTGAAGGTCCTGCTATTATTCAAAACAAAGAAATAAACTTTGTTCTCTGGAGACTGGGATGGACGTGCTTTATTATTTTCTGACGTTTTATAGGCCGCACAATTATTGATCTAGAAAACAATCTTCTGATTTAAACAATGATAAAAGCAATTCTTGGTTGCAACCATAAAGTGGTACATATCCACTTTGTGCAACAATGTCAACATGAGTGAATGTTATGCATATATGTCTGAAGCATGCGAATCACTTTAAAGTCACTATTTACCTTTTTTAATACTACTAGCAGAAACTTGACTTTGGTCACCCCCTGTATCAGCTCTCATAACTTCCTAAATGTGCTACTGTTTTCACATGTCAGACGTTTACCAGGAGGACTGGATTGACTAGTCATATTGTGAGTGGGGTTACCTTTGGTGGTTGTTTAGGTGTGCAGTTCTGATTTTAGTCTTCAGGTTTCTTGGCTTTTGTCTCTCGTTGCTTTAAGTTCCACTGTGTTGCGAGTTTCTCCGAATCTGAATGATGGGCTTTCCTGACTGGGCTTGACTTAAACAATATATTGTTTTGTTCAAACCATATTGTTTAAATAGGAAATACAATTCCTGTTCAAATAATACAACTACTCACAATGCCGACATTTAATTTAATCGCAAAGTAGTGCAAGCTAAATTGATGAGCATTAAACAGACATGCAGGCTACCTGTGTGCTGTTGAAGCCTGGTTTAACATGTGCACACGTAAACAGAGATTAAGATTATACCTGTGTGGGGGGGGGGGGCTACTTCTGCACAATTTGTTTCACCCTTTTTAAACACTAACCCCGGCATTGCTATCACTTGCAGGAGCTTATTCTAATTTATTCTGTGAGTTGTTTGCTTCTCTGTGTTAGATCATCAACACAATGTTTCATGTTTGTTTTGGATCACTGGTGTGTAACTTAATACAGGCAGGCACCTTGTGTTGGTTTATCCCTGGGTGGTACTGTGACCGGGCAGTTGGTGCTGTTCTTGTATTTTGGCCAGTCTCTCTGCTCCATTAATGAGTAAGTGCTCATCTGTTTGGCTTAAACCCAAATCTGTGTTGCTCCACTTGTTGCCATGGAAGCATCCCATTGGGGTTGCTGTGAGTGAGGATGATAAACACTGTTTTGGGAAAATTACTAGTTCCAAATGTACATTCAATTTACTTCAGTATTTTTGTATGTGTTAAACAGGTCCTGACCCTATGAGGCCGCTTGTTGTTTCTGAATATAATGTACTATAATGAACAACTTATTTTTACCCATGGCCTTATATTTGGACTAGTCATATCCATGTGATGTCTGCATGCATGGGCTGCATGTCATCTTTAGGGACTAAAAGGAACAGATGTGTGGGGACTCCTCATGGTGTCTGTAAGTCTAATTGCACTGACGTTTCTGGTGATATGATGGGCACTGAGTTCTCCCATGAGACCCTGCTTCTCTGCCACTTGGGTACATAAGGCTGTGATTAGATGTCATCAATTGTTATTCTTTAAAATGTTCTCGTGTCGTTAACCAAAACCTTTTTTCATCATATGAATCAGCCGGAGTGAGTCAATGCTTTGTGGTTTATTTGATCAAATCAAAGATAGCCTAAACAAATATGGCTGTGTTAAAAGATTGGTTGGAATTATTAGTGGTCACCAATTACATTTTTGGTCAGCAAGGCACGTACTGCATCTTTGAACTGGGTCATCACATTTAGTGTTAGAATAATGCACTTAATATCTTTCTTTCTTTTTAATGTTCTACAGCATATACAATGAAGAAAGGAACCGTCTTCGCCTCCGAGCGCGGGAACAGAGGAACCAAGAAACAAGCCCACCCAAAGAACCCAACCCTGAGAATGTGCCACTCTTTAGGGAACCATACAAGGTAAAGACCCACTCTACAGGAGTTACCTGCTCTAATGATCACACTGGGCTTCTACTGTTCATATTATTGATACAAAGATTATTATTTTTGACTTCTTTCAAAAGCAACGGTTTCAGGATCAAAATGACTCTATTCATTATCAGAGGGAAAATGATAATTTTCTGTATGTGTGCTGTATTGTTGGCTTAAAAGTTACATAAAACCTTTCACCTTCTAGTGTTTTTTGTTGTTTATGTAGTGTGCTATACAATTATGTTTACTTTACAAAAAAAAGCTGTCAAAAAGCAAGTTTGTTCCACCTACTGTTTGTCTTAATTAACCAAATCCTACATATTGCTACCGATATATTGCTTCTAACAAAGTGTTTACCCTTTCTTTACGCAGACAAACAAAGGGGATACTCTTTCCAATCGAATCCAGAGGATGCTGGGTAGTTTTGAAGATGTGAATAATCCCTGTCCCTTAGCCATTGAGCCTTTACCCATTCCTACTTATGTAACCTTCTCACAGTCAGATCAGGCTCAGCCAAACACAGATAAACCAGCCAAGCCTCCATTCCTTAACCAAGTCCACACGTCCATCCCAAGTCAGAAAGCCCCCTCTTGTAACGGTTACTCCTCTCAGCCCATGAGGACGTCCACTGCCCCTTCTCCTCCTAACCAGCATGGACATTCATCCACTTTCTCGAATAGGTCCTTAAACCACAGTCAGCTCGGCCTCTCAGCACAGCAACAAAAGAAGAGTGAAGCCCACTCAGGTCTCAGGGAGTGTGTCAGCCTTCCCCAGGAAATGTCTTATCAGTCTCCTGATGCCAAGCGGCCACCCTTCCCACATTCCATTGACCATGATAACTATGACACGGACACTAGGGACACCTTTGATAGACTTCAAGTTCAAGGGTCCACAGATCACCACCCTGAGTCTGACAGCGCCATGGATGTTTCCACATTTGACCTGAAACAGTCCCCCAAAGATTCATCTCTGCCTCAAGCAAACAAAGGTAACACACTACCTTCCCAGACCTTCCCTTCACTCCTGTCGTCGAAGCCGCCCAGCGTAGTCATGACCCAGAAGCCCACAGCGTATGTGCGGCCCATGGATGGTCAGGACCATGTGGTCAGCGAGTCACCTAGGCTGAAGCTTTCACCAGAGCCATATGTACCTCTACCGGAGATAATCAACAAATCTGCGCTAGGCAAAACCAAGTTGCTGCCACCATTTTTGGAGGTAAATATATTCTCTTAGTTCGCTGTACTGTTATTAGACATGATATTATCTAGGCTGTATAATGGCTGGTTAGCTAATTTTAGCATGAAGAAAGAAAACAGGAGGTAACGAAAATGAAAATAAAATAAATCATAAGTTTGCAGGACTGGATTCCTTCAATCCAAAGAATTTGGTTTTTCTATAGAACCTGGTTGTTCCTGTTAAATACAAAAGTCTGAATCAGAATACCTTTATTAGTCCCCCAGAGGGGAAATGTACATTGTTACAGCAGAAAAGAGCCAAAGACAGCTTAATGTTACCTTAATGTTAAGTAGCATGCACACAAAAAAAAATTAAAGATAAAAAATATATATAATAAAAAGGTTACACAATTTACAAAAAACACATCCTGTTCTGAGGATTTAGCAGCCAGGTATATATTGCAGTTATTAACGGTGTGTATATATATATATATATATATATATATATTGCACATAGTTGGTGGTTAACAACAAGGAGTGTTACAGTATAGTAGTAGGATAGTAAAGACAGCATGGAGTAGATACTTGGTATATTTGGAATATAAAATTGTCTTGAGATGTCAGTGACACTGAATCTCTGGTTTTGGTGGTCCGGTGATTGGTGAATGTGGGGAGTGATAGAACAAGGGAAGTCCTACTTATTATTTCCCAGCACTGTTGTCTGGGCTATGAATGTACTGTGGAATGAGAGGATTGTGTCATCTGGAACATAGGGTTAGGGCTAGTCAGCTAAAAAAATATATTCTTGATTTCAATTTTAAGGCACTTTAAGTTCTAAGGCTTGATTTGTTTGAGAGAATTTGGCTGAACTTCAGGTCAATTCTATAGAGAGGCGAAGTCCCGCCCATCTACTTCCGACCCATGGGACCTTATTTCGGAAAACTCATGTATTGAAGTCAATTGGGAGAGAAAGATTATCGTTTGAATTGTGCCACGAATTACACATATGATGTTTGTCAATTTAAAAAATAATTTCCATGTAAAAAAAGTCACAGTTTGTCGTAAAACTGTTGAAATATAAGACTATGAAAAATACGCAACTAGAAAGACTACAAATCCCAGAATCCCGTTCCCGCATGCTGGCTCTTACGGAACCGACTAACTCCCCTTGTGTGTATGTACAGCTCTCAACATGCCCAGACTTGTAGTGATTTTCACCTCTTTTAATACTTTTTGCCTCATTCTGTAAGAAAGAAGTGAAATGTTCCAACGTGACGGCCGTCTTGTTGTGTGGTGCGAGATGGGAGATGTAGTTCATTGAGCGGTTTCTCACAAAAAAAAGTGTTACTTCACAGTTTTAGGACACATTTAAAAAATGTTGACTTGCAAAATTATCTTTTAAATTGACAAACATCATATGTGTAATTCGTGGCACAATTCAAACGGGATCGAAAGATAATCTTTCTCTCTCCTTTGACTTCAATACATATTTTTTCCGAAATAATGTCCCATGGAGCTCCCCCGGAAAGGGAGGGACTTCGCCTCTCTATTCATAAATAGACACACACAGGCGTTGCATCTGCAGCACGACACAGCTCCCCCTACAGTCCTGCAGCAGCACAGCAGTGCTAAATATGCTTCTATTCTCGCTACTCTGACTAATCCATGATTGCAGGTTATACAGGCAATTATTTATATTCCTACTAAACCTTTGCTCCTAAATTAGGATCCACATCTGCAGTTTGCCATGTATAAAACACTTTGGATATAAAGTACAATCACAAATGTCTCTTTCCTCCAAACTATTGAGAAATAGAAGAAGTAATGTGCTTTCAACAATGTGTTTTTCCTTAAACAAGTCAATACACAGGTTTAATGGGTCAGAGAACCAACGTCCCAGTGCACGCCATTTTTTTAATTCCGGCACAAGTGTAAACCTTCTGGTGTGAAACTAAAGCTAGTTTAAAAATAAACCCTTAAACTAGCTTTCTTAAATGGAACAACCAATGGTAAAATAACAATTACATATATTTTTGTATTTTATAATAAATATGGTTTTCATGTGAATGTTAATTCAACATCAAAATGCAATTGTTGCCCCAAAACGGTGGAACCTTGATATTGCTCTTATTTTGTAATGTTAAATGGTTTCATTTTAAAACCAAACTCTCCACTGCATCTCTTCATGGAAACAATGCGAGTGCTTCTGCAGGTCTCTACCGCTCTCTGCTGGACAACACTGAAATGCATATATCTCTTTACTTTGATTTTAATGTGGTATGGTTGTATTTAATGTTTTCAGTGTTTTCAATTCCCCCCAAATTACAGTATACTTAGAGATGATTGAAGTAAGATGCAAGAAGTAAACAATCTGAAGGGGGGTCTTATGTTGTATTTAGCTATGTTATTTTACCTGTTTGACCTGTGAAATACCATTAAAAGGTTTGCTCTTGGAAATATTAGCCCTTTACCATTTTCTATGTCTGTCATGTTATAATTGCATAAAGGTCTATTCACTGTTTTGAACAGATCATTTATTCATTTCTTTTCTACAGACAAGGACAGATGAGGTTCAGTGTGTCGAAGAAATCTTGAGGGTAAGTCCAGCTTTTACAACTCTCATTTACAGTTGCTACATCTGCTTGCTATAATGTTTATTTTATGAAGAGTGATGCCTGTATTGTAGTTGGGCCGTCTTTAGGCTCCTTGCATATAACATTCTTTTTATCCCACCATACAGGAAATGACCCACTCATGGCCTCCTCTCCTGACAGCCATACACTCACCGAGCTCAGTAGAACCCTCCAAGTCTCCGTTCCCAGCCAAGGTAAGACTTTAAAAGTTGAGGATAATTGAAAAGAAAAAGCATGTTTTAAGGCCTTAAGTCCTGGTAATTAAAGATCTGTTTGCATATACAGTAACGATTATCACACCATTTATTAATTAAGTGTACATGAAGATAACCATGTGCAAACTTAAATAAAGCCAATGTGTGACCCATGTAAAAGCTTGCGTTTGTTTCATTGTCTTCACAGGAAGCAGCGTGTCTCTCTTCATGTCCTGTACAAAGTGAGTCATTAAGTGAATGGCAATCAAAAATCAAGGCACAAAACCAGGATACACATGTTCATTAATATACATGTTGGTACTATATCATAGAACATCCCAAACAAGCATGCAGACCAGGGTTAGTGTTTTGTCTGTAAAGGACGAGGGTAAAATACAGTGATTGGAAACATCTGCTGTACATACAGCCTTTAGATAAAGAGTCTGTTTTAATAATTTGTGTGAATTGAATACTATAAACATTTCAAAGTTTTTCATGACATGTAATTCCCCTATTTTCTTCCAGAAAACTACAAGTCCCCTCCAGCAAATCCATCCCAGCTCATCCAGCAGAGCTCATCATCGTAAGTGACAATTAGGCTTTTGGCAGTTTGTTAATTCAGCCATTTAGACAACTTACAAGTTTTTTCATTAATGGAGCAACTAATCATTATTTCCTAATCAATGCATCTGCATCAATCATCAATTTAAATATTTTATCAATAATCAAATGTTGTATCTACACTCACCGGCCACTTTATTAGGTACACCCTGTTAGTGCCGGGTTGGATCCATTTTTGACTTCAGAACTGCCTTAATTCTTCGTGGCATAGACTCAACAAGGTGCTGGAAACATTCCTCAGAGACTTTGTTCCATATTGACATGTTGGCATCACGCAGTTGCGGCAGATTTGTCTGCTGCACATCCGCGATGCAAAACTCTCGTTCCACAACATCCCAAAGATGCTCTATTGGATTGAGATCTGGTGACTGTTGAGGCCATTTGAGTTCAGTAACTCGTTGTCATGTTCAAGAAACCAGTTGGAGATCATTTGAGCTTTGTGACAAGGCGTGTTATCCTGCTGGAAGTAGCCATCAGAAGATGCGAACAGTGTGGTCATAAAGGGTTGGACATGGTCAGCCTCTATACTCGGGCTGTGGCGTTTAAACCATGCTCAATTGGTACTAAGGGGCCTAAAGTATGCCAAGAAAATACCCCCCACACCATTACACCACCACCACCACCAGTCTGAACCTGATAGATCCATGCTTCTGACCCTACCGTCCAAATGTCGCAGCAGAAATCGAGTCTCATCAGACTAGGCAACATTTTTCCAATGTTGGTGAGCCCGTGCAAATTGTAGCCTCAGTTTCCTGTTCCTAGCTGACAGGAGTGGCCCCCGGTGGGGTCTTCTGCTGCTGTAGCCCATCTGCTTCAAGATTCCACGTGTTGTGCGTTCAGAGAGGGTATTTTGCATATCTTGGTTGTAACTAGTGGTTTGAGTTACTGTTGCCTTTCTATCATCTTGAACCGTTCTGGCCATTCTCCTCTGACCTCTGGCTGCCGCTCACTGGATATTTGTATCTTTTACGACCATTCTCTGTAAACCCTAGAGATGGTTGTGTGTGAGATCCCAGTAGGTCAGCAGTTTGAGACACTTAGACCAGGGCTGTCTGGCACCAACAACCATGCCACGTTCAAAGTCACTTAAATCACCTTTCTTCCCTATCCTGATGCTGTGTTTGAACTTCACCAGGTCGTCTTGAGCATAAGCGCTTTGAGCACCAGGGAAAGCGCTATATAAATGTAATTTGTTATTATTATTATTATTATTATGTCTAAATGCATTGAGTTGCTGCCATGTGATTGGCTGATTAGGTATTTGCGTTAACGAGCAGTTGAACAGGTGTACCTAATAATAAAGTAGCCAGTAAGTCTATTTATATGCATTTTATAGGAAATAATGAATATTGCTCTTGTAATTCCCTAAAGGTAAATTATTCAAATGGCTTGTTTTATTTAATAAATGGACAAAACCACCAGAATATTACTGTTGTAAATGACAAAGAAAAGTCCCAGATCTGAGAAGCTGGAAATGTGATATTATTATTGTTGTGTTCTGTGTGTGGGTGCCGTAGATCACTTGAAGCAGCACATTCCCGAGGGGTAGAGCCGGCCAGCTCCAGCGACTCAGAGTGTAGCTCAAGATCAGAGTCGGAAAGTGAAAGCACCATCGAGGAGCCGCCTCCACCCCCTGTGAGCATCTCTGTTAAAACCGAGGTAATTTGCTGCTTGCCACATTTACTTGGATTAATACACTGCATCTCCCCACGGAACACCCACAGTTACATTTTGGCATGCATTTCTGCCTGCATACACACATTAACAACTCTCACATTTATCTACAAAACAGAGAAGGCAGTTAAACACCTCTGTGTGAAATCACTGATACTTTAGTTTTTCATTATGTAATTATCAGAGCAATACCGCAAGTCATTTAAAATGTAACAACCAATTACATACAGCGTTGCTGATATTTTGTTTGTTTATTTCAATAAATGGCACGGGAAACTGATACACATGCATTCTCTGAACTGTAAGCTCTATCTCTTTTTTTTTAAAATGGCATTGTTTGTCTTTTTTTTAGCCTGAACCTCTAGCAGTGACCCATGGTGATTGGCAGCTCGGGAACTGGATCCAGTCCAGGTCCAGCCAGCAGAACTCGAGCGCCGAAGGTCAAAGCTGTTCACATCCCTATGAAAGCCCCACTCACAAGCGGCCACCGCCCGCTCACAGCTCCCAGCACCCACTCAGTGCAGAGGTGGTCGACCCCTACAGAGAGTCCAAACCTTCTTCTTCTTCTTCTAACCAGAAAGAGTTGACCCAGCATCACAGTGAAAGCCCTCAGGACAACTATAACCATCAAAGTGGCCACAAATCCCCCTCTGCTGGTTTGAACATCTCCAGGACACTTTTATGCAACACACACTCCTCAAAACCAGTGACTGCAGGTTGCCCAGATCACACTAAAGCAACTATCAACGTGAAGTGTGAGGAAGTGGTCGATACGCGAAACAAAGACCCCTGTTTTACAGATAGACCCAAGGTTAAGACGAAAGTAGGGCACAGCAAGAACAACAGCGAGACTAAAAGAGACGGTAAGAGGACTTCTAAACACACGTCACTTGACAAGCGGAAGACTGGATCAGATCCTGAAGTCACTGTGGTACTGTGTGTTCATTGTCCATCTTGTGGTGTTCGATATCCTAACCCTTGCTCCTGCCCAACCCAAAGTCCTGCAAAGGCTGACCAGCTGACCCCCGCCCCGCCACTTAGAGTCAGTTGTAGCAAACCAATGTTGGAGACCCTCTGCCCAAAGGGATCCAAGGTTCTTCACAAAACGAGCAAAAGGCACTCAAAGAAAACTGGGCACACGATCAAGAGTTCTCTGGAACCCCAGAAGCCTTTTAGCTCCCTGCTGGTGAAAATTGATCTAAGTCTGCTCTCAAGAGTTCCCTGGACCTGCAACATCCACCAGGAGTTACCCAACAATGCAAAGAGATCAGCACTGGTCGTAGAGCAGCATGCAGGGGGTGGTGATGCTTCTACACCACACAAAGTCATCAAAAGCAGCAAAAAGAGTATATCTCAAAATGTGAGAAATATGTGGGTTCCCATTTTGTTCTAGTTAGCATTCATGTAAAAAACATTTAAATGTATTTTAATGTATGATTTGTTGTATTCAAGGTCGAGGTAGACAATTCAACTCATCCCAGGAAGAAACAGAAGCTGGAAAACAAGAATACCTCATCAACAAGTCATGCTTCTGTCAAACTAGAGTAGGTCCAGAGGCATCCCTTACTTTTTTACGTTTCTTGAACGGAGATAACGTCACACTGTTTAGTGTGTCTGATAACACAAGCTCTCTATTCTTACAGATGTTCCAGCAAGTCAAAAGCAGACGGGGAGCGAAAGAAAAAGGTGGATAAAAAACCTGTTCCTATGCAGCAGCCTCTGACACCCAAAGACCCTGCTAAAGACCCTGCTAAAGACCCTGCTAAAGACCCTGCTAAAGACCCTGCTAAAGACCCTGCTAAAGACCCTACTAAAGACCCTGCTAAAGACCCAAAGGTGAACAAACGCAGTTCTGGGAAGCCCCAGGAGTCCAGCAAGGAGGCAGCAAAGAGCAAGGACTCCCAGAAGCACAAGAAGAGCGGCGGAAAGCATGCCGAACAACCACACTTTGAAAAGGTACCGGGATATAAGCACCAATCTTTTGTGTTTAGCTTCCCCCCCAAGGCAAGCCTCTGAACGATCTCATGGTTTTAGGGATTGTAACCAGTGACAAATGCTCTCAATTTGTTTTCATGAAATGCTAAAGTTCATCTGCCCTTCAATCCTAGCAGAAGCCCCAAAAGAGCACCCCTGCTGTCCCATCATCTTCACAGACCCCCAGGGGAGCTTTGAGCAAAAGGCCCTTGCTCAGAGTTGAGGGGAGGTAAACAATGATTTCTGTGGAGCTGCCAAGTTGTTCTAAACTACAGTTTTTCATTTGTCTGAACAATCTCAAATAATGTATGTCTTCAATTTCTATTGAAATGTTAATTCAATCCCACATTTTCTCAAAAGGTATTACTGGAGTAACTAAATGTATATTCTTGTTTTGAAGGAAATTGTTGCTACAGTATTAACAATTAGTAATGATAACACTTGTATTGTTTTTAATTACGAGGTGTTTAGTGTGGTTTGTTGATAAAGCGTTGTCCACCTACAGGCAGTATCCAGTGAAGCATTACATAAAAGAGGCCAAAAAACTGAAGCACAAAGCAGATGTAGAGGTAAGTTATTTGTGTTTGTTATGAACTCGTATTACTGCACATTTCTACCCGATGATACTAGAAACATATAACCAAACTGTTTTATGTGTCTATCTCTGCAGTCAGATAAGCTGATCAAAGCTTTTAACTACCTGGATGCGGCCATGTTCTTTGTCGAAAGTGGTATTGCCATGGAGAAAGATCCACACATTTCAACGTCTTCCTACACTATGTTTGCAGAAACAGTGGAACTGCTCAAGTGCGATAACATTTATCATTACTGTCTGCACTATTGATAACTGTCATTGATCCAATAGACAAACCTTTAGATATTTATATGCTTCATTTTTACAGGTTTGTACTGAAACTTAGAAACTCAGTGGATGCCTCTGCTACTGCTGCAGAAAAAGACTTTTTTGCTTTATGGTGAGTTGTAGATTATACCTTTTTGTGCTGTTAAATAGCTGCTTCACAAAATAGAATGTCGTGGCGAAAACTACACAACATAACTGGTTAAATGTTTCTCCTCTAGCTTCATTTCTGTTTAAAGCTTTTTCACCATCTGTTCTTGTCTACACATTACATATTTGTAGTTATATTAAAGTCTGTCATAAATGTAATGAAGTCATAGAATGCCATAGTATAGCCATACAGTATTATAAAAAAGCTGTAAATTCACAAGAATGTATAATAAAGTGTGTCATAAGTCAGGCATTAAGTAATTCATTGTAATCGTAAAGTATAAAAACGTCATTGTATTGTTTGTCTTTACAATAACTGTATATGCAATAATGAATCATGCAAATGATAAACAATGTATGAACATTGAATTGTGTCTTGCAGTTTGAAGTGCCAGTCCCTCTTGCAGATGGCAATGTTTCGCCACAAACACAAAATTGCCCTCAAGTATTCGAAGACCCTCACCGACCACTTCAGTGTAAGTATTACATATTCATTTCTTATGCCATTGTAATTGTTTTGCAATTTGATTAGGTCATATCTAAATAAAACAATGTTATAACATGTTTGTGCAGAGTTGGAAAAGTAGTCGCCATGTAATCATAGTTGTACATTTGCCCTCTAAATTTGGACATTTCAGAACTCAACAACTCGCGATCCTCCTGTTTTAACACCAAAGTAAGTCGTCTACTTTGCATGGTACTTTCTCTTTTTAGGTGTATTGCACTAAGCTGTAATATGTAATCATATTCACATATTTTTACTGGTGTTTTTTCAGAGTCACACACACCCCGTCCTACATGCCCAACATGCCTTCTCCAGCCAACACGTCCAGCAGCTTTGGCTCCGGCCACAGCGGGTCGGGTGTGGACCCTGCGGGCAGCACTGTGATGGTTCCTCAGGCCATTGGACAAGTGGCATTAACCTACGTCAACATCACTACATTAGTTTTAAGCGCTCATGACATCTGGGACCAGGCGGAGGAACTGTCGCAGAAAGGCAGCGGTAAGAATATACGAAAAACAGACTGTAAACATGAAAGCATAAAGAAAGCATGACTTTTTCCATATTTGTTAACAAACTACAATAGGCGCTTTCACACTGCGGTACTTTTCCCACAAAGGTTCGTGTGAACTTAGTTCATGTGAACTCTTTAGTTCGCATGAACTAAGTACAGATCGCGTTCACACCGGAATAAGTCCCTAGGGGTGGATTAGGCAAATGAAGCCGCTGACGTCACTTGTTCTTCTTCTGCTTTGGGTTTACTGGCAGGCCGCAAACCACTTCACGGCGTATACTGCCGCCCAAAGTCCCCGGCCGGAAGTCCCCGGAGTTGGGGACTGGCTTCAGTAGAAGCTGCTGGGACTCCCAGCAGCTTCTACTGAAGCCTTCCGAGTAAATCGCCAGAACGCCGACACCTCCTCATCGCCACCACTCCCATGTTTTATTTTGTGTTGCAATAAGTTAGTCTCTCTGCGTTTCTGCGCTGGGCTAATGCTAATGCTAATGCGAGGATAATAAAATGGCGGCTTCACAAAACTTGTTGGGAGTTTTACGGGGCGTGGTTTGCAATCCTTCCAGCCAATCAGAAATGTAGCTCTTTTCTCACAAAAGAGCCGCTCGAAAGTCCCTGCTGCTCTCGAGCAGGGACTTTCGTGGGGGTAAAAAGGTTCACATGAACTAATTTTAGTACCGGCTCTTCAAGTTCACATGAACCTTTGTGGGAAAAGTACCGCAGTGTGAAAGCGCCTAATAGGCGCTTTCACACTGCGGTACTTTTCCCACAAAGGTTCATGCGAACTTAGTTCATGAGAACTATTTTATCGCGTTCCCACCAAAAAGAGCCGGTACTAAAATTAGTTCATGAGAACCTTTTTACCCGCTCGAAAGTCCCTGCTAGAGAGCAGGGACTTTCGAGCGGCTCTTTTGTGAGAAAAGAGCTATATTTCTGATTGGCTGGAAGGATTGCAAACCACGCCCCGTAAAACTCCCAAAAAGTTTTGTGAAGCTGCCATTTTATTTTCCTCGCATTAGCATTATTAGCATTAGCATTAGCCCAGCGCAGAAACGCAGAGAGACTAACTTATGGCAACACAAAATAAAACATGGGAGCGGTGGAGATGAGGAGGTGTCGGCGTTCTGGCGATTTACTCGGAAGGCTTCAGTAGAAGCTGCTGGGAGTCCCAGCAGCTTCTACTGAAGCCAGTCCCCAACTCCGGGGACTCCGGGTGGCAGTATACGCCGTGAAGTGGTTTGCGGCCTGCCAGTAAACCCAAAGCAGAAGAAGAACAAGTGACGTCAGGGGCTTCATTTGCCTAATCCACCCCCAGGGATTTATTCCGGTGTGAACGCGATCTGTACTTAGTTCATGCGAACTAAAGAGTTCACATGAACTAAGTTCACATGAACCTTTGTGGGAAAAGTACCGCAGTGTGAAAGCGCCTATTGTGATATTTTTTTCAAATGTTTCAACATGCTATACTACTTCTTGATATTTTTGACGTACTAAACTATGACTTTATTGGGATATTTTCTACATTCTATGCTATGAATGCTTTTCATTATATTTTTAAGATGCTATACTACCACCTTTTTTAAACAATATTTCCAAAACACAATAGCCTACTATGACTTTTAAAAAAAAAAAAAAAAATGTGTTGGACTTTTTAGTTTTCCAACATTTTCAATATGCTATATTATGACCTATTTTTCATAGTCTATAAAATACATTTTACTCCTGTAAAAAAATCTGTATATGCATCTTAATGAATTGTGATGTTTCAGGTTTGCTGACAGAGCTGGACTCAGTCATGGGTGCATTGAGCCTAACTTCCAGTATGAGCTCCGTGGTGCGCTACACGAGACAGGGCGTCCACTGGCTGAGGCTGGACAGCCAAAAGGTAAACTGACTATCCACCTGCTCTCGTCAAAGAGTACCTGCAAACCCTTTGTGCTGCCCCTCTCTACCTTTACCTCACCTCGCCTCAGTGTGTCACACTCTGAGCTGGACTATCCCTCAGGCTTGTGCCAGGCTTCTTTACTTCACATGGACGTTGTCTCATCTCGTGTGGTGTGTCCCTGAGAATACACCACTGATCAATGCACTTGTTATTTATTGTTTTCTCTCATGTCCGCTCGTGTCTCTCTTTCTCTCTGGCACTTTTATGAACATGTGTTACATCTGTGGTTATACACACACTTCATGTCTTGTACCCACGGTGTATCTTCCTGTTCCTCTTCATGAGTTCATGTGTTTGAATCATCAATTTATTCAGGTGTGACCTTAACTACATTTGGATGGGAGCACATCGAATGTAACCAAAATTGCCGTTTGGTGGCAGCCCCAGCCTCGTGCAAGTCCTGACACAAATCTTGTTTATGATCACAACTTTGGTAATGTCAAAGATGAATGTCACTATAAGGCACTAAAACCATTGTTTAAATGTATCACAATTGTTATTGAATTTCTCTCAAAATGAGTCGGTTTGAATTATGCATTGTATTTCCCCTACAAATCAGTGGGGATTAATACAGTATGAGTTTAATAAATTAATGAATACAGCGTGAGTGCTGTCCAAAACAATCAGACATCTGAGCATGAATAATAAGGATTTGTATTATGATGGCTCAGGATCAGGATCAGAAGTGGTTTGCTATCTTTCTCAGGCTGATTATGACAATTACTGACTAGTTGGTCAGTCCAAAGCAGGCTCGATTTTATTCTTGTCACCCAGGTAAAATAATTGCACTTGTGCCCACTAAAGTAAGTTATACAAACATTAGGTACGGTAAACATTGCAAGAACAAAAAAGGGGCAATCGTTTTACATATTGGATTTTTTTAGTTCTAGTGTTGGAAGTAGTGGTTGATATTAGCCGAGTTTGAGTTACCTTTCAAGTATAGTGGGACTGCCACATTGTTCAACAGATGAAACTACAGTAGTGTTCCCTTTATTTGTTTTTGCACCAGGAAGCTGCTTTTCTGTTTCCCACACATTTTGTTGATTAGCAAATGTTGAGTTTCAATATGTTTACTAAATGTGTGCGAGTAGAATAAAAGGCCAAACTATAGCTTACTACAGAATGCACTTTGTTGAGTATTTGTTGTTAATTTCAGAGCGTTATTGGACATAAGAACACCTTGATCCCAAAGACTGGCAGGACTGTGCTAGTCTTTACTCTAGTTTATTGTAACTTTGATTCTAAAAAAATAAAGCTTGAGTTTTGTTGGTTCAAATTTTTATTGAGGTGTTGTTGTTATGACAATTTAAAAGGGATACTAAAATAATCAGTATGAAATGGTGATGCAGTAAAAGAAACATTGCTTTTGATTTACACATTTTGAAACGTTTTGCAGTTAATTGAGTTTGAATGTCTGTGTGCAATTACACATCAAAAAGGGCTAAACAAGGATCACAAAGTGTTCATGAATTTACATTGTTGCATAAAGTGTAGCGACAATTTTTTAAAATACGGAGCAAGGTCACTGTTGCCATGGCATTTGGGATTATTTTATGTATAGATCATCAGCAGGAGAAATGATCTTGAGTATTTCTTACTGCAGAGGTCTACACTGCACAGAAGCATTTCAGATGTTTTCATGTCTTTTCCAACCTGTGGCTTTCCTTCCATCATCTTTGATTGTTTATGAATGACTCTGCAACAGTTTACACTTCTCGCCCAAATAATTATTTACTGAGAAATTGTTCAGAAAAGGTTTTGAAGGATGCTTTTCCCTTTTTTGTAAAATATGTAAAACATTTTTTTTGCAGAGATGAATAAACACTGGAAATCATTTTGTTAACTTATAATTTATTACTGCTTACTCTTATTTTCAGAAAGAAAACAAGATTACACAATTTGGTTGTAAAGGTCAGTAAATAACTCACGAACAGTCGATTGCATATGGAAAATTACTGAATTCTTGTAGACATAACAACAGTTGAGCACGGAAAATGTAAGTGCAACATAGGAAAACAAGTTTTAATATCTTATGAGTATATTGCAATATATATATATATATACTGTACAAATGAGGTGAATCCTATTGCATTCTTTATACTTAAAAGGGACATTATCAATGATTTGTTTACAAAAACATTTGTTACTGTACAAAACATAAATGATGGTTTATGTGTCTGATTCTCCACCGAAGTTGGGGTTGGTAAAAGCAGGCTGCAACAAAAGAAAGACAACTTAGTTTTTACACTTTCACAAAAACATAACAATATCATATTAGGGATGCCACAAATGAAATTGTCGAAGAAAAGTCACAGCAAAGTATGTCGGAAAATTTGAAAATAATTCATAGTATGTCGGAAAAAAAAATTAATAGTATAATGTAACTAACATTTTTGGAAATAGGTCATAGCATAGTATGTAAAAAAAATAAAAGTCGTAGTTTAGTATGTCGGAACATTGAACATCAAACATTTGAAAAAATAAATTCATATGTCGAATAAAAAAGGAATAGGACGAAAAGGTTGAGAAAAGTCATAGTATTGTATATTGAAAAACTCGTAGTATAATATGTAGATAGTTTAGTAAGTTGGAAAATTAGAAAAAAAGTCATAGATAATTAACAACTTACCACATCAACGGTAGCAGTTGTTCTTGTTGGCAGACTCAAGCCGCTCAGTTTAACCCCTCTCACACTGAAGACATAGAACAACACTCCAGCGATCAAGCTGCAGAACAGAATGGCTCCAATAACGGCGCCCACTATAACCCCTGAATCTGGACAAAGAGATACAGCAGATGTTACAGCAGTTGAAGGTACTCTAAAGGATTTAAAAACAACACTAACAAAATAATGTTTGGCACTTTGTTGCACTTACTGTTGCCTCCTGGACCATCAGTGGGGAAAACTGGATTCCCGCCATCATCTGTTGTATAGTCTGAAAATATGGTTAAACACAGACCAGCTGTTAAGATGTTGCTTATTATATCTAATCTTGGTAAGTATTATTATATCTTAGTAAGTATTAATTTACCACATTTTCTTTCTCTATGTTTTAAGAACCCAAATGAAAGCTTTAACAGTCTGTCTTCACACCTCTGGATGCTATTGAGGCTAAAAGAGGCAAGTAAGAAAATAAAATCTGATCTTTTTTGTAATTCTGAGTTAAATAGTTTTCTCAGCTGTGTTTACGATATGAAGACAGGTTATACAAAATAGGTTTTGCCAGGCTAATCTTTAAGTTCCTTAATTCTTTTTGTTGTTGACAGGATATTTTATGTTTTTCAGTGAAATACAAATGTTGGTCGCAAGAGGCTGATATGCAGGGGTGCACATAACTTTTTTGCCCTGGTTCTCAAAGGAGCACCTGGAGATGTTGCTTGGTGCTCATCCTTAAAATGAAATAAACCGTAACTTTTGAGGGGGTCTTGACTTTATTTGCCAGACACACGGCACTGAACACACATGCAGAGGTGAACACAAGACAACATTAGCACGACCAGTAATTCTACAAGCTGTCATCACTACCCTCCGCACTGTGCTCCTCACTGTCTTCCTCTCTGTCAGACATGGTAGCTGGTGATGTAGGCCTACTTCTTTCTCTCTGGTTGAGTCTGCGATTAGCTGCTTGCATCCACAAGTCAACAGCTGGGTTTGGGTCGAAAGTCTCTGTCATCTTAGAAAAGTGGATGTAATCAAATAAGTATGTAAACATAACCAATAACCTACCATAGCCAATAACAATTTAATGTAACTTATTTTATTTATGTTCATTCATATCTTATTTTACCTTAACATTTATTTATTTATGCATTTTTTTTTTATCTCCAGTTTTAAAGGATATTTTTGGTTACTGTCCTATAGTATACATTGGAATGATTTCAAACCTGTGTATCCCAATAATTATAAAGGAGTGCCTTGGAAATATGTGTTTACATAAATTGTGACCAAACCGTTTGAACTTAGACTAAAGTGAACTATCTAAACACTCAAGAGGCTTCTCAATACTCAAATTTCCCCTCCTCGACTCCTCGGTCTTCGGTCCTCCGGAAGTGACCCGGAAATGAATTTCAGCGCGCCATTTTGAAGGACATCTCATTTCTCTAAATCAGGGGTGCCCAACCTTTTTTGAACCGAGAGCTACTTTTAAAGCTGCCAGTCTGCCGAGATCTACCAGACCAAATAGAGAGGCGTAGCCATTACTGACAGTAAATACACACTTCTACTTGTATAAAACTGACCTTTGTACGATGAATACTTCATAAAATACTGCAGGTCCTTTATCTTACCTCTTTCTAATCTACACACATACAAGTATCTAACTGAAGTTACACAACAGTGTTGTTGATACAGAGTTGGAGTTTATTCACATGTCACATACTACAGTGGGTAATGTCTTCAAGAAACATTGAACAGTGCTGCCACATATGACACAGGAAAAAAGAAAATACTCTGAACCCTTTCTTTGCCATTATATAAAAATAGTGTTGCTACAAAAGTATAAATTAGGCTTACTAATAAGACAACTCAGATCTGAAGCTACACAGGAATCTGCTGCCAAAGTGCAATAAAAAAAGATTATCTAAAAAATTAATAGAATCAAACCCTTTTTTTGTTGCATTTTAGTAGAGTATACAAATAAATGCCTTTTAAAATAGGATGCAAGCAACTCTAGTTTCTTAACCTGAATTGATAATAGACTATAATCAATTTAAGTTTGCATTCTTATACCATGTTGTACAATAATTATAATGAATAAGTTCAAACTAAAACTTACAGCTGATTAATAACGGTATCTAACTTGAGTTTTTATTATATCAAAAACCTGTTGAAATGCTACTGTTATTTTTTACTGTCCCCAAAAAGCGCATCGGCAGCGTCCAGGAACGCTTCTTTCACAACTTCGCCGTCTTTGAAAGACTTCATGTGTTTCGCAAGAACGTGACTGACACGATAAGATACTATGGTAGCAGCCTTGCTCTTGTTGTTGGGCCTGGTGGAAATGGACTGCTGTGCATTTAGCTGTCCTTTCAGGTCCCCTCCCCTTTTGGAGCGTAGGGCAGAATTAGGAGGGAATTCCGTCTCGTAGCGTTTGTGCACTGTTTTGAAATGCCGCTCCTAAATTACTCTTCTTCGATAAAGCCACGCTCGCATTGCAGATGAGACAGATGGACTTTGAATTGGAATAGATACAAAAATAATCATCCTCCCACTCGGAGTGAAAATTATATATTTTGGGCTCTTTTGCTTCTGCCATAATTGCGGTCTTGTGTGTATGCGGACTGTCACTCCTGTTGACACGGACAACGTCAGCGAAATAGTGCCCACTGACCACCAGCCACGCCCCGACACATGGGGTCACGCCGGCCAATCACAAAGCTTTGATGCGTTCAAGTGCATTATTCTGGCACAGGAAGATTATGTTATAGGACATTAACGATAAAACAGAATATTGTTGTTCTATTTTTAGACACATCTCCCGATCGACTGTGAATCTCCCCGCGATCGACCGGTCGATCGCGATCGACTGGTTGGACACCCCTGCTCTAAATGCACACCGAGGATCGAGCGTCGAGGAGGCTCTCTGGAGGAGCTATAACCGAGGATACACTGATGGTTCCTCCATGGCTCCTCCGCGGATGCATTTCCGGGAACGGTGGAGGCGTGACGCACGGCCGGACTTATCTCAGCCAATGACAGCTATGCATGCATTATTTTAGAAACTGCTTTCATCGCGTCGCGATGTTTCCAGAGAGAACAGCTGTGAGGTCCGTGCAGAAAGCAGAGCAGTGTGTATAATATATATCACTCAGTATAACAGGCCTACTCTCTTTATTTGCTTTAGTTTAGTAGATATCTACAAACAAAGAGTCGATATTTTTCTAAGACCATTGCTTCACATAATAAAATACACAACGGCTTATGCTTTAGGAGCTGTAGGTGTGTGTGGTACAGTGTGTAGGTGTGTGTGGTACAGTGTGTAGGTGTGTGTTGTACAGTGCGTAAATGCGGCGGACAGACGGGTCTCAGTTGGTTTGGTGTCCTCTGCTTACTTTTAATAGGCTTACTTGTAAATACAATTTTTGGCCCGTCATTTCAATTCCCCATTTCAGCGACCAGAGAGAGGGGGGGATATATCCAGTCTCTGATTGTGTTACGTTATTATGAGAGTGCTCTCATACTTTAAATTGTATATATTTATATAAATATATTTGTGTGTGTGTGTCCGCATCTGTAGCCTGTTATTGTCTCATTATACCGCACTCTCAATGAATTCAAAGTAAATATGTGGGGGAACAATGTTCAGCTGATCTAACAGAGATACAGCGCTATGACAAAACACTCGACAGCTGATGCAGCTGTTGCCACGTAATAATGAACGGACGTCGCTTTAAAATGACTGCTCAGAGGAGAGGAGTTCTCATTTCTTTAAACGTCTGCTGCTTCCCCTCCTCTCTCCTCGGTTCCCTTCCTCGGTCCTCCGCTCGCATCTCCTGTGGGCGGGTCTAAGTCTCGAGGAGGGGAACCGAGGAGGGGAAATTTGAGTATTGAGAAGCCTCTTCAGAGTCCTTTACCTCACTGAGCCTCTCAGTCTGACTGGAGAGGACTCTCCCTCCACATAATTGTAGAAACATCTTCTTCTTATATCCGTTAGAGCAGCTAGCACCAGATGATAATAACAACAGCGCCGGAACCGGTGCACCCTCCCTCTCTCCCACGCTCACTCGCACTTTGGCTGTGAGCTGCGGGCGCCAGATAAGCCAACATCCCCCATTTTCATCACTTACAGCGCTCATCGTACAGGGCAAATGAAATGTGTAACCGGGGTGAAAAGGGTGTTACATTTACTTAATTGTGAATATTGTTACATCAAGGCCGAAAATTAGGATGAGCCCCAACGGTCACAAATGTTTTTTTCCCTCCCAGAACTGCCAGCGCAGCGCCTCCACAGATCTGGCGCCCTAGACGAACATCTATTACGCCAGTGCTACGGGCCGGCCCTGAGTTCATATCATAGGTTCATGTGAAACTCGCAAATATATTTCTCTCTCTCTCTCTTCTCTTTTCTCTCTTCTCTCTCCTCTCTTTTCTATTCTCCCTTCTCTCTCTTCTTTCTCTCCCTCTCAATGTTGGTACGCAAATGCACCTTTTTTCAAATGACGGTGCTCTTTTTTTGGCGGAGGTGCGCATGCGCACCTGCGCACCAGTTATGTGCAGCCCTGCTGATATGCACCTCTACCTTTGTTCTAAATGGGAATAAAGCATTCATGTTTTCTTCCAGCTGAGCTTTAATTTTACTCACGGATCACTTTTTTACTTGTTCATAAATCATCAAAACAAGAGAGAAAACAGCTTTGAAAGGCAAGTGTTTTGAACTTGCCTTTCCGGGCCTCCTTAGTATTCCACCCAAATGTTGAAAAAAAGAATGTAAAAACACAAATCCTTACATTGGCGATGGCGGCATGCAAAGCCTCTCTTTTGCAGGCAGTTGTTGTCATTCCAGTTTCCGTCTTGGAACATCTCCACACAGTTCTCCTCTGCCACCTCCCCAGGGTGGAAGGCTGCATTGGGCTCACCGGCAGCCCAGTTTAGGAAGCCCAGAGACGTCTTATCCGTCCAGCCCCAGCCGACTAGAAAAGCAAGGTTTCCTAAAGGTTAGTGCACATATATCTGTATATTTCACATATAATAAAAGCTCAGGTTCAAGTAGTATGAAAGACACATTTGTATGGTTTCGACACTCACAGTTGCGGTCCCTAGTGAGGCCGATCCATATGTTGTGATACTTGGTGTGATTGAGGTTCCTGATGAACTCCACCTCCGCTCTGCTGTGGAGCGACAGCAGGTCTGCCTTGGCGGCCTGGCAGTAGTGCAGGGAGTCCGGCCAGGAGAAACCCTGCTGCTGGTTGTACACAAAGTAACAGTAGCGGCCATATGGTATCCAGTAGGGCAGACACTTCCCATCACCAGGGGCAGGGGTCGGCGGCGGTTTCTCTGTGAGGAGATATAAGTTACATCATCAAGGCTACAAGTTTTAGACTAAATGACGGTTTTCAGATAGAGAGACTAGAGAAAAAAAGTAGGAAAAAAGAGTCACAAACCTGGGGAGATCTTGCAGACGTAGGGTTTAGCTTGGTCACACTTGGTGTCGTTCCAGGTCCCGTGGAACGCACGAGAAGCATGCATGCTCACGCAGCCCTCGTCCTTTATATTGCTGGGTTCTCCTGGTCCCCACTGAGTGAAGAAAACTGGCCAGTCATCTGTCCACATGTAGGAGCCGTCGTCCTACATTCAAGGACATATAAGCTCCGGTTAAATAGTTAACGTTTCAAGTTACTCATTCTTTATAGATATTTTCCAAATTGTCGGTACACCAAATGAAGATATTTTTTAATCCAATCCAATCCACTTTATTTATATAGCACAGTTTAAAAACAGAGGGTTTGCCAAAGTGCTTCACAATGAACATAACATTATAATAAAATATAATATTACACGAATAGATAAAAAGCACACAAGAATAAATACAAGGCCAAGGCACATAAAGGCTATGGACAGACAGTAAAGGCATACAAATAGGTATGACATAGCTCAGACTGACTGGTAAGCGAGGGGAAAGAGGTGGGTCTTTAGGCGGGACTTAAAAGCTTCAAGAGTGGGCGACAATTTGACATGGGGGGGCAGGTCGTTCCAGAGCCAGGGGGCTACCGATGAGAACGCTCGGTCTCCCCTGGTCTTTTTCTTTGTTTTTGGGACTATCAGCAGCAGCTGATCAGCCGACCTCAAAGCCCTTGAGGGGGTGTACACCTGTAGGAGGTCGGAGATGTACTCTGGGGCCAGCCCATTAAGAGATTTAAAAACAAACAATAGAATCTTAAAATGTACTTTAAAATGGACAGGAAGCCAGTGTAGGGAAGCCAGAAGAAGTGTGATGTGGTCAAATTTGCGGGTTCCTGTAAGCAACCGCGCCGCAGCGTTTTGTACCAGCTGCAGGCGGGCCAGCGAAGTCTTATTTAGGCCGGCATAAAGTGCATTACAATAATCTAAACGAGTTGAAACAAAGGCATGAATTACACGCTCAAAGTTTAAAAAGGATAAAACCGGTTTAATTTTGGACAGGAGCCTCAAGTGATAAAAACTGGATTTAACCACAGATTTGATCTGTTTATCTAATTTAAAAGCACTGTCGATTTTGACACCCAGATTTGTGACCATGGGTTTTGCAAACTGTTGCAGGGAACCCAGGTCAATGGAAGGGACATCACCATTTGGTCCAAACACAATTACCTCCGGTTTGCTCTCATTTATATTTAAAAAGTTTAGCGCCATCCAGGCCTTTATGTCATTAAGACAGTCAACCAGGGGCATCAGAGAGCTAGTGTTTTTTCTTAGGGGTAGATATAATTGGGAGTCGTCCGCATAAAGATGGTAGGAGACGCCATATTTTCTAAAAATCAGTCCAAGGGGGAGAAGGTATAAGGAAAATAAAATAGGCCCCAAAATAGAACCTTGGGGAACTCCACAGGATAAGGGGGCAGCAGAGGATGTAAAGTCACCAAGCCTAACAGAGAAAGATCTCTGGGACAGATAGGACCTGAACCACTCTAAGGCAGTGCCCCTGATACCCACACAGTGCTCTAGACGAGAGCACTGTTTAATAACTTCAACGTCCTGTAAGGCCAAATGAATCACTGTTGGCTAAAAAGTTAAGATTAGAAAAAGTTGGGAACCAAAGGGTTAAATAACCTGGAAGAAGTTAATACTAGCTCCACCAGCTAAAACATGTTGAGTGAAAAACTCAAGGATGTGTTTAAGATAGCTTATTTCTTATTTGTACACAGATGGTTATGAAACCACATTTGTAGGTCCTTAATGAGTTTTTAATTTCCAGGTAGTTCAGGCAACAACATGGTGTGTTTCCTCCCTGTCAGCACCTTGCGCCTGAGTCCGATCCAGGCGTCGGCTCGGCCCTGCAGGACGGCCCCGGCCACGAAGGCCTGGTCGTAGCTCATGTCGATGCTGGCCAGGTTCCCTCCCTCGTCCCGGCAGGCCGCCTGAGCCGCGTCCCAGGTGGCCAGCTCCTCCACCAGCCTGTAGCAGTTCAGATACCAGGAGGTGTAGCCAGTCGGGCAGGGGGCCTTGGTCGGGGGTGGAGGGATGATGCTGCTCGCTGATGTGGAAGCAGATACAGAAAAGTATTTGATTAAGGACTGAATTGAGATTTTTAGCTCCTAAATGTTTTTTATGTAAACCCTTTGGAGTAACATTGTAGAAAAATTGTTTTATGTGGCAATCTGTGCACACATCAAGTTTAATAGGCATACATGTTGCCAGTCTGAATGATTAAGGCCAATGCAATTACAAAGAAACATGTATGACTAATGGAGTATTTATTGTTGTATTGTATAATATTGTTACTTTTATTTAAATGGAGGATCTAAGTTTTTCATCCACTACTGAAAACAGTCCAGGATATCAACCCGTATTATTAAATAAAACGAAATAAAGCCAATACACTGCATGATAGAACATTTCTCCCTGTAGGAATATTACAGTAGCATGTTAAATTGATTACAAAAAAATGCTCTCAAGTACAGTTAGATCTGTGTGAATTAACTATTCACTACAACAGCCTCATTATATGTTCTCTAGAGAAATATTGTGCAATGACACAGCAGATAAAATGCCACAAAGTACAGTAAGGTTAAAAGAAAAAAATATATATAATTTAATTCAAAACTTGTGCACGGATTGTAAAACCGCATTTTTTAAATGTAATTCCTGTTTCTATAAGCAAATAAATCCTATCCAAGCAAAAACAAAGGAAATTGGGAGTGTTGACTGACATTTCTTCCTGGAGCAGACGAAGCTGTGATCCCTGTGACAGGAGTCATCGTTCCACCTGCCGGTCACCAGGTGGTTGTGAGAAATCGCCACACAGTGTTCCTGTTGAGAAGGACAAGAAAGCTTCAAGCTATCTATCAATATACATTAGAGGATGTTTTAGTCCTGCTTACAAAGATTGAACATGTATCCCACTGGCTTTGCACCGATTATAAATAACTTGTGTTGTAGAGGATCCTCACCGCTCCTCCTGCGTTGTTGGGCTCCTTGTCGTTCCAATTGGTGTACAGCACCGGGCTGACCCCATCACTCCAGGCGTACTGATTCTCCAACAAGAGATCCGACAGGCCGATCCACGTGGGAAGCTTGAGGTCCCTCAGGTAGCTGGAAACAAAGTCTGGAGGAGAGGAGAGAGTATAAATACAGAGAGCAGTCCCTTAGACCTGGAGCTGTTTCCTCCTCAAAGGTCCAGCTTACCGTTCTCGTACTGGTCATCGATAACGGCCAGATCTCCTCCCTGCTCTTTACACCAGCTGCGAGCGAAAGACCAGTTGGCCTTAATGTCACCCGTCTTCCCTTTGAACATGAAGCACTTGTCCTTGAAACGCATCCAGCCTGAGATGAAAAAACAGAATAAAGTTACATCAGGTTTCACAGATAGTTTCAGGATGTATAGCTTTGTGCATGTAAAATCACTTTTGATTCAATAACATTATTACGGGATGTATAATTATCAATGTGTAAGGAAGGCAGGCAGCTCCAACAACAAACACCAATTTAATTAGTTTTGCTCACGTTTGGAGATCAGCACATGACTTCAGAATTCACTATATTGATCAAATCCTCCATAAGGAGTTATCTAATTTAAAAGTGTAATAAAGTATTACAAAATTCATTTTAAACACAGTAATAAAGAGATACAAAATAGAAAAACAGACAAAGATTTTGAGATGGATAACAAATGATAATACATTCCAGCCGGTAAAAGAAGATGCAGGTTTTAAGCGATGGGCCCGAGGGGGCATCACAGCAATATGTAGGATGGTGGAAAAAGGGGAAATGCAGAGTTTTCTATTTTCTATTTCTATAAGAGATAAGTTCGATCTGGAAAGGGGTGACCACTCTAGATATTTACAGGTGAGAAATTATTATATAAAATAAATAAAAATGGATAAAACCACTAAACAAAATGGGGTAATTAAGGTAATGATTGAAGCATATGAAGGGAAGAAAGGCAGGGGGATTTCAGCTCTATATCAAGCTCTGTTGGAGAGTAGGGGGAATTCAACTATGTATAAAAGAAAAGTGGGAGAAAGAACTCGGGATTGATATGACAGAGGAAGAATGGTATAATGTATGTCGAGTGCAGCATTCAACTACTGGGTCAAGGGTATGGAGGGAATTTGGCTGGAAGAACATAATCAGATACTTCATAACCCCGAAGATAAAAGGGAGGTAGGCCCCGGAACAGAACGCATGTTGGAGGAAATGCGGCGAGGTGGAGGCAGACCACACACACAAAAAATGTAAATGCCAAAAGATGAAGGGATACTGGGAGGAAGTATGGGGAGTATTGAAGGAGATATTAGGTTATGAGGTTCCTTGGGGAATCTGGTAGAGGAAAACACACAGGGTGGGGACAGATACCTGATTAAGGTGCTGCTGGCTGCCAGCAAGACAACTATTACCAGAGCATGGTATAGCGGATCCACCTACGAAGGAGCAATGGCTGGGAGTAGTACAGGAAATATTTGATATGGAAAGACTCACACACATATTGAGGGTCCAGGAAGGGAAATTTGAGTCCAAATGGGAAAAATGGGTTGAGTATAAAAGAAAAATTACCGGCACCATAAATTGACAGTTGGAACCAGACAATGATGTTAAAATAGGATAGAAAGCTTCCATGTCACTGTTGTTGTTTGCTTGTTTTTATTATTATTTGTACTTTCTTTTTTTTTTCAATGGGGTTTTAATTCAAATGGATACTGAACTATATGTGGTTTTGTATATTTATAAACATTTAAATAAAAATGTAAGTGAAAAAAAGAAAAGTGTAATAAAGTATATTTCTAAAATATGGGTTGAAGAACAGGTTGTATTCTGTAGTATGTCATAAAAAAAGTAAAGCTGTAATATATTGTAAAAGAGTCATAAAGTCAGTAAATGATGTTAAAATATTGTCATTAAAGTCAAAGTATAATATATGCCATTAGATCATCAACTAATTATAGGTGCTCAGGTTGTTTTACAAAACAAATATATATTTTTTCATATTTTTACTTTGAGATACATTTAGGTGGTAATAATAATTTCAAACGCAACAACTTGTAACTGAGTATTTTGTTTACACTGTGGCATTATTAGTTGCTGTTGTCCTCCATCAGAGAGTGTGTGTTACCTTCAGGGCAGTTGCCCTCCCAGGGCTGTGTGGGTGGAGGGGGAGTGTGGATATCTCCAGGGAACTTCTTACAGACGTAGCCTGCTCCGGCCCGACCACAGTTTGCATCGTTCCAGCCACCTTAACAAGAATGAGATCGAATGATTAATAACAATAAATAAACTAATCTATATTGTGACATTCAGCCAATTAGTTGAGCTTTTTACCTTGAAGTCGGTTCATCTGAACACACTGCTCCTCCCCGTTGGCATTGTTGGGCTCACCTGGACTCCAGTGAGTGTAAGTGAGAGGGGAGAAGTCCACCCACCTGTGCACATCACACAAAGAAACCTTGGTGTTGACCTTTTATGTGCACTTAATAAAGAGAAGGTCCTCTCTAATGGAACAAATGGTTGATAACATGTAAAAAGGCCCTTTTTTTCATTTAAATTATTTTTCTTTTATCTAAATTGAAAAACACTCCTTTTTTTTGCATTATATTATTACATTGTAAAAAACTGAGAAGGTGGATCAATCTGTAAAAGTGTCTAAACCTGGCTGTAGTTAATTGTGAAATAAAGGGGTAAAAAGAGTAAAGATCAAATAACACATACATGTATTGTCCACCTGTGATGCCAAACATCCTCATCCCAATCCAAGCTGAAGCCACCTGGCCGGTCCCCACCTTGAAAACAAGAACATCGTGTCCCAAACACATTTCACTGAGACATGGTACAACATGTTCTGAGAACGAGACGCACCATGGTGTTGACGTAAGCCTGTTCGTCTTTGTTGAGGATGGAGACGAGCGAGGCCTTCTCTTCGTAGCAGCGTCTCATGGCCGTGTGGAAGTCAACAATGTCGGTGTCGTTGTAGTAGTAGCAGATGTTGTTGTTCTTCCTCCAACCGGGGTTCACGCCACAATCAGGAGCTGAGGACGGAGATGAGAAAAACACACACGGAGATAATGTGCTCATAACAAAATGCCTAACACATGGAGTGGAGATTTCTGACACTTACTAATCTTTGCCATTTTTCAATATTGAGAGGTGAGGTTCACTCTACTGAAGTTTCTATAAAATGGGTGGTGTTGCATTTCGGGATTGCGAGCAGTAAGTAGTGTCACATGCATGAAACTACATTTTAAATATATATAGTCTCAGCTCTGGTATTTCAAAATAAAGCAAACACACAACTATATGAATACCACAATGTTTTACTCCCTCCACCTCTGCTGCTGTTTAACCATCATTGTAATGTTCTCAACAACACAGTATTTAGTTACTCCATTATATATATGAATCAGCCAGCCTTGATTTAAAGTGGCAGACAGTCTGAAATCAAACACATCTCTTTCTATAGAAATGTTGCCAAACATGCCGTAGGCTATCAATGGTTTAGTTTCTAGCTTATAACAGGTTCAAGTCAGATTGTTCAATCATGTTGTACAGCCTTCTCAGCTGTAAATTAACACCAGGATAAAACCTTGTCAGTACAGGAAGGACGGTGCATTGTGGGAACAGTTTACCTGGGACTGGAGGTGGGGGCACAGGGGGCAGGATGGGGTTCTTTCCTTTAGCAATCATGCATATCCAGTCCTGGTGGGCGTCACAGTTCAGATCGTTCCATTCAGAGAAGGTCCCGTTGGTGCTGCTCACCATCTCCACACACTCCTCACGGCCCTCGTGGCTGTTGGGCTCCCCGTGACCCCAGTTAGTGTGTGAGAGAGGTGTGCCGTCGCTCCAAGAATAACCTACACGATAGGAATAGTCATGAGTGTATTCTTTATCTGTACCCCAATTATCTTCAGCTCTGTAAAACACACACTACACACACCTCCTTCTGCTGGGTTGTGCTTGAGGCCGATCCACTTGCTGGTGCCTTTGCTGTACAGAGCCAGGAACTCCTGCTCCTCCTGGGTGTGGATGCTCACCAGGTTAGCTCCTCTGGAGACGCAGTCCTCCAGAGCGGCTCCCCAGCTCTTCTTCATGGACCAGTCCACATTGTGGAAGAGCTGCAAGGAATCAGACGATAATAACCAGTGCTGACCAGAGGAGGAAGAAGTATTCTGCTACTTCACTTAAGTAAAAGGTCCAATGCACTATAAGTAAAATATGAAAGTATTGATATGTTGTAAAATGTTCCTTGTCAGTGTTTTACTTTTATTTATAATAAAATAATATAATATTCTGCTCCCAAACATGTGTTGATGTTTCTTAATACAGCTGTAGATGTTTAAGGTTGTCCTTATTTTAACTCCTTTATACACAGTTGAGTAGTTAAATCTACTAAATGCATCATATTATATCAAATCGCCATACGTTTTTTAATGCATGAAGGAAGACAAAACATCCTTCAGGTAATCACACACATTTAAATTCAACTCATCATGAGAAACATGGTTTGCACTGGACAGATACGGATGAACTGTAAAATGTTTGGTAACTTAAGATTTTAAATAAATGTAGAGAACATTTCCCTTTGAGGTGTTGTGGAGTAGAAGAAGAAAGTACCTTAAGAAAATACTAATGTAAAAATGTGGAACTTCTAATTTGTACCTAAGGGCAATACTTGAGTTCATGTGCTTAGTTGCTTTTCCCCACTAGCCGACTTAATGACCTTGCAGATAACCTGGTGTTGGTGTTTATTCCACTGCCTTCTTTACCTTGAAACAGTTTCTGAAGTGAGGCAGGGCGGTCCAGCTTGTGGCACAGCCCTGAGAAGGAGGGAAGGTCGGGGCCTTGGTGGGGGGGGGTGATGTCGGGCCGGGGTTTCTCACAGACAAAGGCGTGTTTCTCCAAGCACTCCTTATCATCCCAGAAACCACCAATCGGACCCGTTGTCATGGCCACACAGGTGCCATCCCCGCTATCTACAGACAAAATGGACATTGGTGTTTTTCCAATAGGTATAATGGTATAGGGGAATTCTTTTGATATCTGCATGTGTTAGTGTCTGTACCTGGCTGATTTTTGTCCCAGTGGGTGAAGGACAGAAGTGCCCCGTTGTCCCAGATGTAGTCGACCCCCCCACTCGACCCTCCTCGAGCACGCAAGCCAATCCACCAGAAACCAGTCTTACCCGACAACGCCACTGTGAAATGTGACTGCTCATAACTGCAGAGAACACAGAGACGATGCATTCAAACTCCTGCCAACCAGATTGTTACAAGATGACAAATGCTTAATCTGCCACTATTATCAATTCATTGTGTCATTTCTCTTTTATTTCCTTATTGGGATTTATGCAGTCTTGTGCAGGGATGGCAAAAGTACACACATCCTTTACTCAAGTAGAAGTACAGATACTCATGTTTAAAAATACTCTGATAAAAGTAGAAGTACTGACTACATTTCTTTACCCAAGTAAAAGTAAAGAAGTATGGGCTTTGAAATGTACTTAAGTAAAAAGTACCCATAACTAGCAGCTGTTTTAAAGAATACCTGACCTCCCTTTATATTAATGGAACAATAATGTCATTGTTAGCTAATGAATGTTTCGATGCTGAACAACGGCAACATTACAACATTTTCATTGGTCCGTCTTCTTTAGAGAAGACCAGGAAATGATGGATACACGGATCGTGTTCAAATCAATAGGCACGCAATGACTCTAAATAATAATGATCACGCCACCAAACACACATTCAAACTAAAGTAACTAACCTGTTTTGAAAATGTAGAAAGTCCAGGTATTTGTTTTAAAAATGTAAGAAGTAAAAGTAAAAAGTCGTCAGAAAAATAAGTAGTGGAGTAAAGTACTGATACCAGAAAATGTACTTAAGTACAGTAACGAAAAATCACAATGCCAGTTTTCTTTTTCATCCGTGGACATTCTGGGGGGGGGGGGGGGGGTTCTTCACCAAACCCTCTTTACTGACTTGGAAAATGGATCACCAGAATAGTGTTTTCTCTCTTGCCTTTCAGTCAGGTAGTTCATTCAGAATAAATCATAAAGTAACTGACCTCATTATTCAAAAGCTGTACACTAGAAATGATTGCAAACATTTGTATCCACAAGGTACAATGTGTTGGGGGTAATAAAAGCAAGGTCCCTCACATGTCTCCGATGTGCAGCAGGAAGCTGTCCTGCTCCTCACAGAAAGCCTTGGCCTCCGACCGGGTCCTGCCCGTCTCCTCCATCCAGTAGCAGGCGTAGCCGTACGAATCCCAGCCCTGACACATAGGCGATTATCTCTTTACTCAACACACGAGAAGATAGATTCAAGATTCTTATCAAATGTATGGCTTGTTTTCCCCACCTGAGGGCATCCGTACACAGTGGGTTTCACAGAGGGCAGTGGGTAGTGTGCTTTGGGCGTTTTGCATATGTAGGTATTGAGCTCGGTGCAGGACACGTCATTCCATCGTCCAGTCTGAAACAGAGAGGACATTTACATCAAAATTCCCTGCAAAGAATGATTAAGGACTTTGATCAAGTAAATGTTGTTACTGGTGTGTACCTGGTATATCATCTCCACACAGTCCTCATGGAACCCGTCGTGGTTGTTGGGCTCCCCCGGGGCCCAGTAAGTGAAGGTCGCCATGTGTTCGTCAGACCAGGTAAACATCCCGGTCACAGCCAGGTCAGTCAGACCCGTCCACACGTCACTGGTGGCTGCATAAACCAACCCAGAAAAAAATGCAATTAGCTTTTTACCATATGCTGTTTTTTTAAGCGTACCAGAGTTCACAAGATGAGTGTCAAAAAAGAATAATGTCACCTCAACCTACAATTTTCTGTCACTTCCATCATTCTCTTGCAATATCTGATATCTTTTTGTACTTGCACTTATTTTATTTATTTGTAAGTGCATTGTATGTTGCATTAATGGAGGATCCTGGGTCTTAACTTTGACCTGCGCACATACATGTAAATATATTTAACAATCCGGACTCAGATATGTGTATATCTTCATTTCTTGTTTTAACAGCTACTTACCTGTGTATCATTTAAATTGTATCTGTAATTGTATTAATCTTGTCTGAATCTGTACTGTACTTTCACACTTACCGGTACTCTGTTGCTGCTTAAACTCCTGAATTTCCACACAGGGATTAATAAAGTTCCATTTTATCTTATCTTATCTTATCCTAAGATTTTCATTTCCAACACTATGGTGTAGTTTATCTGCATGTGACAATAAAGCCCTTGAATCGTTGAATCATCTTCCTTCCTTACTTTATTTTTGTAATCCCTAAACCAAATGATACTTCCTATTTCTTCTAGATACATACCCATGTACAGGTAGCTTTCCAGCCAGCTCTGCTCCGTCATGGAGAGGATGGAAACAAGTTCAGCACCCATCGCCCTGCAAGTCCTCTGGGCATCGTGCCAAGTCTTTTTGTCTTCAAAAGGTTTGTAGCAGAAATCTCCAAACTCATACCAGTCGGGCCCTGAACACCTCAGCTCTGAAGGACAGAGTTTAAAATCAGTGCAATCAATGAATTGAAAAAAGACATAAAAACCAGCACAAATATCAAATGTTATCTGATAAAAAAAGCGTTTGCTTAGAGATTTGTTGAAGGGATGATAAATGTAACTCACCTCCATCTGCAAAAGTGTATGACACAGCGTAGTTCCCATCATATCTGTAGAGAAGAATGTGAATTAGCCTCCAAGGAAAGTTACACTATGAAAGGAAAAAGGGATTTATTTGAAACTCTGCTGCTTACTGTAGAGAGGTGATGCCGTTCCGGGTGGAGCCGGCGTAGAAGTTTTGTCCTGGAGCTTTCAGCAGAGTGCAGTCCCCTCCATTCTCATTCAACACCACTCCAGCATGGATAGCAGCAGCACAGATGTTGGAGTCCTGTTAGAGGAGACACAGCAGAGAGAGGATTATATATTTAATAAGAAATATATACTTTATAAAGTAGAGAAGTTGTGATAAGAAATCCGCTCATACCCCACGATACACTGAAGTGCCGTACACTCTGTGGTAAGTGTTGGAACAGCGCGCTGGACAACTGACACTGAAAGATACACGAGAATCAGTTGTGTGTATGATGGTGGGAAAAAATGTCGCATAGATTTGCAGAATACAAATGTTGGGTTAAATATGCAATTTTTTATTTTTGGTGTAAACATCTCAAGTCTCACTCACGTCATTTTATCGTTGGCAAAGTTGAAGTTGGGCCTACTGGCGCAGCTGACTGCATCTGTTGAACAACAACGTTTCATCATTGACCATCAGATGTCTTGTGACAGTATCACAGCAGGCTTGGACCAATAGTAAACTGTATTTTTGGGAATTTGTAAGTAGATTTGTAAACTGATGTAAAGAGTAAAGTAAGAGTAAACTAATGTTCTTACAGTCGGGGGTGCACCCTAAGACGTCGAAGCGCAGGCCGGCCTGCCCGTTGAACTCCAGCAGGAGGACGCGGATGTACTGAGTCGTCACAGGGGTCCCCAGCAGCTGAGTGACAGGACTGTTTTTGTCCGTCGATCCTGGGAAAGACTGAAAATCAAAGAAATATAGAATGACAACAAGTTCTTCAGCTGGGGCTCTACAATCTTTACAAATCACCTCTTCTTATTATTTAAAGAGAGAGAACAACAAGGAGGGGATGTTAGGACCTCTGCCGATCAAGTCCCTTTCCTTCTGAATTGTCTCCTGAGCTAAGTTGACCCATAAAAAGTCAAACAAAAACTATCTTTTTGCATCAGCCGTCAACCTCACTTAGTCTGGCCTAATAATAATGTTCTAAGGTTATCCAATTTATACTGAGTATGTGCTCATGATAAATGTATGTACACATCTTTGACATATCATTTGTTTCATTTGGGTACTTTTTTGCGTATTTTGCTTTTCACACTTATTTATCAATTGTATGTTTGTAATACTTTGTATGAAGTTTATCTCATTTGTTTAACTTGTGTATATGTTGGTGTCTCTGCTCACTCACCTGCCCGTCCGCAGTGTAGTCCGTCCAGATTGTTCCGTCCATGCTGTGCTGGATCTTAAACTTGGTGATCCAGTGTTCATTTTGAGGACAACCCTGGATTACTACTCCTGTCACTTTTCTAGTTTGGCCCAGATTTGCCTGGATCCAGCTTGAGGTTGCTGAGGAAGATATGAGGACACCAATTCAACATTAAAACAAGATGAAACTCTGCCTTTAAGAATATATTGAAATCTCATGTTGTATGTGTGACTGCTGGTTTGATACGCACAGGTTCCTGAAGGCATCCAGCAGGAGTTTCCATTCAAGCGGGCCTTGTTGGGGGTGTAGAAACCGATGGAGGAGGAAGCAGAGAGCTGGGAGTCCGTGATGTTCCCGTCCTCCACACCCAGGCCGTGCAGACACACTGAGCAGCCAATCACAAAACAACACATCAAATTCAATTTCAAATGAACACATTTAAACATCATGTTGGGGGTTCCAGATAGAAATAGCCCCAAATAATGAATTCAATTGTTCTGTAGGCTAAAATAATGATTTATTAAGCTCAATGAAGAACTACTGATTTGAAGTTTTCCCAAGAAGAGTACATTGCAAACTCAATTTATATGGATACAATATTTTGGATATATAATTTATATTGCTACAATACAATACGAAGTAGAAAAACACGAAAATAAATGGGACAAACATTGTTTAGGTAAGAATGGGTCTAAATACAACAATAAATATGAAAATGATGGTTTCTAAATGTTTCTAAAAGATTTCATTCGTTTTTCTTTTAATTCTTATCTTTTATCTCTTTTGGAAGGTTATATTATCATGTGATCATATTGTCATAATTGTTATATATATATAGATGTTTGCCCCTATTGAATAAATACAAATAAATTAGCCCTAAGATGATTGTAAATAATTCCAGGGCATTATTGTATTTCCAGGAGAGATTTTAAATCAATCACAGGAGGAAAAGAAAGCCCACCTTTTTGTTCACAGCTGTAGACGATCTCAAGGTATTTGGAAACGGTGGGGCAGGGGTCCTCCTCGGTATGGGCGTACAGAAAGCAGAAGGGATGGTTATCACACCTCTTCCTAAAGTAAGGGAGGATACCATCCACTGTGCAGCTTCCTGCAGGACAATGATCATCGTCTGGTTAAGCATGGATCTACATTTACATAATATTTAGATTTGAATTAGAGAACAATTGCCAGTCAAAAGGCAATGATACACATTGACAGAGAGACTACAGCACCTCCTGATCCCTCCAGATGTGGACAGATGTCGGCGCTCTTTCGTCCATAGAAGGCAGACTGGATGTTAATCACACTTTCGGTCGGACAGTGGAGGACAGCGGAGGAGTCCTGGCACACCAGAGCCGTCATGAAGCCTGCAGCAGGAAGGATTTGGACATCAACTTTAATCTTTAAAACAAATTCATCGCAGCTTCAGGTCCATTTGTTGTTGTTTCAATAAGAAAGTATGCAGATATCAATATCAATGATGAGGTTTTGTTACCATCATGAGGAGGAGGAGGCTCAGGTGTGTTCCCTGAAAGAGAGAAAGACGAGTATAGTGTTAGAAACATCAACACTCAGTATTACCTTCAGTTATAGCACCACATCTCACCTCTGCGCTCACAGATATATCCTCTTTTGCTGTCACAGTTGTCGTCGTTCCAGTAGCCGTTGTTAATGAGGATAGAAAGGCAGTCTTCACCGTAATAGTCGTCAGGGTTACCTGTGAGGAATAATGAGGCGAAGAAAGGGAATTCAGTTGTCTTCAAATAATAATGATAAAATATTTTGATCACTTTTTTTTTTTAGACAGCACTGTTCAATTAAATCTTGTTTTTATTTGTATTCTCTCGGCTTTCCAATCACTTTTTAAAAATGTACTTAAGTGTCATTACATAATGTGTTTCTTTGCATGTCTTAATGCTTTGATGTTTTTTGTAAAGCCCTTTGAGTTGCCTGAAATGTCCTGCGAAAATATACTTGCCTTACATTTTGTTATGTTATTAGACCTAAAACGAACCTGCGCTCCAGCGGATGTATCTGAAGGGAGCTCCATCCATCCACTCCCAGCCGCCCTCAGTGACCGAGTCGTGGCCGCCCATCCACAGAGAGATCCCAGTGGGACTCACCTGGATCACACCTGAGGGGAAAACACCAATCAAATTAGAGTGAGAGACAAGCTTAATGCAAGTTTAATCTATCAGAGGAAGTTTGCTCTGTAAGAAGGTTTACACTTTTTGGTGTGGATGCTTATTATCCAGCACATAATATATTCTTAATAGATGATTGAGAGAAATGACACTGTTGCCCACAAAGTTGGAATAATCGTATTTTCAGACACATTCCTCTTTTTATTCCTATTTACACACACAATCATTTCATGAGAAGAGATACTCAATATTGTATTCCAACATTATAGGCATCAGTGCATTTTAGTTTAGGTTAATCCTAAATTTGCCATAGATAGTTTATTTGCTAACTCTAACATCTATACTCTATATACTGCATTTTATGTAGTTAGAGTATGACAGATTATTAGGGAAACAAGTTGTAATTTGAATCTCCAAACTTTTATATATTACCATCATTTTGCTAACATTATTATTATTATTTGATCTTTTCTGTAAATATTACTATTACTATAAAACAATGTTTAAACAAATAAATAGAAATGACAGAAAATGTACTGTCAATCATCATACATTTAGCAATAATTATATATAATATTTTAATGAATTAGTCAGACACAGAGTAAAGGCGGTACCTTGAATGAAGGCCTGTTCGAAAGGGTCTGTGATGCTCACCAGGTCCCCCCCCTGGTTTACACAGTCGGCCCGAGCCTCCGCCCACGTCCTGGTGGACAGGTAGTTGAACAGGTAGCAGTAATCATTAAAGGGGTCGGACATCCAGAATCCACATTTCGGATTCCATCCTGTAACAAAAACAACCGAATATTAGCACAAATCAAGATAAACACACACATATTATCATTGTCAGGCCATGCTAACTATGAAGTGTACCTGGTCCAGATGTCGGGGGCTGGGGAGGAGGGCCTTGTCCTTTAGCTATGAAGATACAAGACAGACATTTGACTTCAAAATATCATCACTAACACACCACATGTGAACAAAAATGGTTTAGTATGAAACCTTTTTTGCAGATGAATTCCTTGGTGGCGGTGCAGAAATCGTCGTTGAGTAACCCCGGTTCGTAGTGGTTCATCCCTCGGAGGTTCACACAGTCCTCGTTGTTCTGCCAGTCGTCCGGCTGGTTGGGCGCCCACGGGAGGAGGTCCTGAAGTCCAGAGGAAATCATTTTAGAGGAGCAACTTCAGTGTCATACTGCCAGATTTTCTATTATTAGTCATTCAAAATAGATGTTTAAACTGGGAATACATGATGAGTCGATGGAGAAAGTAATAACCGTTACTGCAAGCAGACCTAAGAAGTTATCAACGTTTGAAGGACGAATTTGTGCTTAGGGATTGTGACTAATATGACAAACAAAAGTTAAAACAAAGGGATCAGAATAAAATAGTCAAGTTGTAAAAGCAAGTCTTTGCAAGTGATTAAAAAACGTCAAGGATTATTTCTTAACTTTGTCATAACTTTCATAAAAAAGCAATTGGTGTGAAAAGGAGTTGAACGTCAAGAGGAAAAGACAGAAGATACTAGAGGTATATAATATATTTAAAAACCGAAATCATTCAAAGTAATAATAATTAGAGAATAAATAAGATGATGACATTAATTATCAGCCAAATTGAATAACTAGCTTTTAAAAGTATTGAGATCGAAGGTGAGTTGAATGCATTTAGTTTCTAAATAAAGATAGAACTGTATACTGCATTGTCAGCTGATAATTGTATCCTGCTCTGTGCAGTTGACCAGATTGAAGTACTTTGTGTTCAAATGTTTACAGTTATATTTATCACATAATATGTTCCTGGCTCCATCACTTACTGCAGCAGTTCCATCAGTCCACACAAACTGGTTCTCGTTGTTTATATCATTCAACCCCACCCAGGCTTCCCCTGGCATGTGAGCTGCAGGAAAAAGATGATTTGCACTTTAAACAATATACTTTCTTGATTGATTATTTCATGATGATTGCATGTGGTTTACAGGTGGTTTACCAGTGATGAAGCTCAGCTCCTCCAGGGAGTGGAAGCTGACCAGGTGACTCTGCTCTCCGCTGCAGTGAGCCTCGGCGTCGTGCCAGTTCTTCACCTGCTCAGTCTCAAACTGATAGCAGAAATCCCCATACAACAAATACCCAGCGTCACAGTGGGAATCTGGAGCAAAGAATAAAGGTGAGAGTTATCAACACGGCTTCAGATACACCGTGTGTGGAGAGGAAACAGGAAGTCCGACTGACCAGGAGCTGAAGTTGGTTTTGGATTCTGTCCACCCGTCATCTCACAAATGTAACCCAGGCTCTTGAAGCAGTTAGTTGTTTCCCATTTGCCCTCGTAATTTCCTGAAACAGGAGATTTAATCATGTTGGTGTTCATCAGCCTCAACTGAAAACATATCAAGTGTAAGTTCAGGGATGAGATGGTGGAGGGTTTTTTCTACCTGTGAAGATCTGTCCACAGTCCCAGGTGGCAACAGTGTTTTTGGGCCAACCAGGGAGATAGTTGGAAAAAGTAACCGGGGATTTATCCACCCATTTAAAGTCCCCATCCTGGTCCTTATCTGGTGACATCACAAACAAGATAATGAATGGAAAAGGGCATTTTCAAAAATCATTTATTGCAGAGAAGACATTTCTTTATTTCACATCAAAAGTACCTGATAAACCGATCCATAGGTCAGGGATCTCCACTTGGTGAAAGTCTGGGAGTTTTCCATTTATGTAGAACTGTTCATCTTGACTAGAAGAAAACGACACAGGTTAAGTTTTCCACTGTTCTCCCGCAGTCAGCTTTTTAGCCTCTTTTAGCTCTTATTGTTTTGGTTTTTCATCCCAGATCAGTCAGCTGTTTGAATAAAAAGCTCTAATACACTTCTTAACGCTACAAACCCAGTGATAAACTGCAATAAGAGAACGTTTTGTGGTGCACTCAGTGGAGCATTTAGCGGTTAAATAACAGATATTTCACTCAGGAAAATAGTTTAATTGTTGTTAAATGGTAAGTGATAAAAGCCATCAAGACTTATCTCGGACTTCAATTCTTCTTTCACCAAATGCGAGATAAACAACGTTTTTTTTAAAGAATTGAAGGCAACATAGCGTGAATAATTGTCATTTTGTGGTAAAAGTATTCCTTTAAATGTGTCATTCAAGACCACGCTGCAGGGCAGGTCTACTTTTACTCCTTTCCATTCTGCTGTTATTTCAGTTTATGCTATTTCTTATTATAAAAGTCATATACTGTGGCTTCAACATCACCTACTTGTTAATAATGAGAAGGTGGGCCCCCAGATCGGAGCACTTGGTGGCGGCGTCGTGCCAGGTGGTCAACAGATTGACATTACTGACCATCCAGTAACAACTGCCGGAGAAACTCTGCCAGCCAGGGGGGCAGATAGCTGGAGGGGAGTTTAGAGGAACAAGAAGAAATAGTTTAAATGAAAAGCAAATCATTTCTTAGAATTGTATGCTTCTGATAATCAATCCGGCTTACTGTTCAGTGGTCGTTTACACATGTAGGGACGCTCGTATCTGCACACATGGGCACTCCACTTCCCAAACTCGTCTGATGGTTCTTTAATGATTGCAGAACACAAGCCGGCCTGTAAATCCCTGTTGGAGAACATGTGTTTTAACCTTGATTGCACAATATATCTTTATTTAAATAATAAGAAAATAATGTTCTATCTTACCCTGAAGGTTGATCATCGCCCCAGTTTGTGTACCCCACTGGGAGAGCATCAGTCCAGGCGTACTGACTGTTCCCCGCTTCAACCTGACAGGAAATCTTGGTGCATTTCTGGAGGAACAGAGCTCATCTTCAGTACTGTCCTTGATATTTTAAACTCAGAGGATGTGCAACATAGAAGGAAATGTAACTTTAAGCATCAGTTTGACTCCTATATGTGAATCTCTGTAGTTGGCGTTAAACTGTGGAATTCTTTACCAAATGATTGAAAGGGCTGGATGAACATCTCTAGGTTTATGAAAATGTATGAATAAATGATAATTAGACAGTATGAAGATGTCAGGTAACCTTTTTAGATTATGCTAGATTGTTGTGTGTTTAAATTGTGTCTTTTAGTTTCATGTTATAAGTATTGGTTGTAAGCAGCTGTGAGTGGCAGACCATCTTTTTTAATCAAACCATCACAATGTGACTTCCTTCTCCCTGCTCCTTTCCATCATGGGCTATAAAAGCTGCTGAAAGTGTACATGTTTGGTTTGATAATAACTGCCATGAGTGGAATACTCGTTATACTTCAGAATAAATAGCTCTCCTAATGCCACTGTGTTCCTCTCACCAGTGTGGAGAGCCCCATCCAGAGGTCAGCCCACGAGGGGTCCAGAGTTCCTGTGATGTACTCCTCCTCCTCTGCACTGACGATGGACACCAGGTCCCCCCCCTCCTGAACGCAGTCCCCCCTCGCCTCAGACCAGCTCTTCCTGGTTTCAGCCTTCAGCTTGTAGCAGTTGGAGCCGTACTGTCTCCAGCCGTTTGCTAAGTCACACTGCGGGCCAGGATTCGCTGAAGAGCAGGAAAGAAAACATGCTTAATGGTTGTGATTAAACTTGGTAAATTCCACATTTTATGAATGTACTTAAGAACTATTTGAAGTTACTCATGTTGTGCTACTTTATACAATTCCAAACCCATCATCTTACACTGTACTTTGCTTCACCCTCTACATTTATATGACAGCTTCAGTTAGTCACTTAGCAGAGATAGAGTATCAATACATATTCTAAATAAACTAAAAATAGATTATGATATTTAATTACAGGTTAAACAACTTAGCGGTATATAAACTATTTCAAATTCGCTCCACCTTAACAAGCTACAATATTAAAGTGATGAACACCATCATTTATCACTTATTATAATCTCTTAAATGATTTATTATGTTGAATTATGAGTACCTTTGCTGTTTGTACTCAAGCTACATGTTGATACTTTTGTATTTTACTTAGGTGACATTTTATTGCAGATCTTTGCAACAGAGTATTCCTACATCGTGTTGCTGTATTGCTACTTTGCCTTAAGTAAAATATCTGAGTATCTTGTAGAGTCGTCACTAGAAACAAAAGAAATTGCTCTGAAATGTGTATGAAGAGAGGAATAAGGGTTTTAGCTCTACGGCTTCAACTCGTTTTAGATCTAACACAGTACAGACAGTGGACTTACGGTTGACGTGCTTGCAGATATATTTCCTCTTGAAGTTGCAGTTCTTGTCGTTCCACTGGCCTTGGCTCTCCCCGACCACCTGAACACAGTCCTCTCCGGGCTCATCGCCCCAGTTATCAGGCTGCCCGTTCATCCAGTATCTACAACAGGAGAGGAATCACTTATGATAAACTAAAATAAATGTAATGTAATGTAACACATACTTTTTTGTATGATGCATATTTTAATATTGGTATAACATACGATAAGTATGGTATGAAGGTGCTCCCATCGCTCCACTCAAACACGTTTTCTGAGACCTGGTCATTCAGGCCGAACCAGAACGTCTCTCTGCCGATCTGTGTCCTCACCCACAGCTAGACATTATAAATAAAAATACATTGAGAATTATGTATTTTATTTCAAACAAAACACAAGTATAAAACATAAATAAACAGGTTACATATCCCAAATTCTCATTAGCAATTTAAACAATGTCAATACATTTAAATGAAGGTACAGGAGTAGAAAGACGTATTTTCTTACATGATCCTATTCTTTTTCCACAACTGAAACAATGAACTGAACGTTTATCATCTATCAACTCAAACCACATGCTATGATGTCAAACTCAAATATCCACAGTGTCTTCCTCTCAATACCTCCTCAAAATAAAAGTCCTGACCATCTTTTTAAAACAATTTATATTTAGACTTTTGAAAAACCACATCACAGATTCAACCTAAACATTGAAATACACATAGTCCCAAAGTGTAACAAGCACCATTTTTTGTTTAATTACAATTTATTCTTAAATTACAAATCCCTCAGTCTAAAAGAAATGTCATATACATCCCAGAAGTAAATACAATGTTTTGTTTCTAGTGCAATGATTCCCTACAGTGTGTAAGGCTTTATGATCCAGGACTGAATCACTTTTCACACATGTGGTATGTTGGCTTTCTGATTCTGCCGGCTAATCACCTTCAATTGCTTTGTCATATACTCTTTCCAGCATAATCTTTGTTGCGTTTAAATTGTGTTATATTGTCGTCAAAAAACGTTTACATTTACAATTTTCAATTCTATAATCATCTCCAAAATCGGATGCAAATGTTTACCGGAAGAATACATGAGTAGAGCCGTCTGCAGAGAACATTAACCCAATGGGTGATTTCAGGCGTGTGTGTGTGTGTGTGTGTGTGTGTGTTCTCACCCTCTCATGAATGTCCTGGACACTCATCAGGTTGCTGTTCTGAGCGATACAAAAGGCGTTAGCCTCCATCCATGTCCTTACATCAGTTGAAAATAAGTAACATCTATCTTCATTCTCCCTCCAGCCCTGCTGACACTGGCAATGAGCTGAAACACAACAAAACAAAACAGTGTTACTGCGCACTATGACAAAACATGGAATAGAAATAATATATTATGAAGAGCACCACAGCACAGGTAACCAAGCTAATACTACCTTACCAACCTGCCTCTATAGAAAGCACTAAGATGCAAATAAATGGTGAAATAAGTACATGCTAAAACATCTGATCATAATTTTAGAATGCTTAAATGGGATTGTTTTGTCTTTTATGTTCTGATGTGACGCATCATTATAGAGATCACAAGCAACATCTCTCAGTCAGCAAGAATGGTAGAATACAAAATAACGTGATTACTTTTAATGGGTGATAAGTCAAAAAAGTTGATTTGAAACTTCACAAGCTGCTGCATCATTTAAATACCCATTTAATCATAAAAGTCCCGTGACAGATCCACAGTCCAGCCATGTCAGTCAGTTCTCATACAAAACTCTGGGTAATGTTTGACTTTAACGACTTCAACAACAAGACACTATAGCATCACATGTTTGCACACATCCTTATTGAGTTGATAGAGCAAAAGAAACTTGAACCACCACAGCACTGACTCTCTCTGACCGCTGCACGACCTTGTGGGGCGTCAGTAACATCAGATGGCCATTACACTAGTCAGTTCGATGGATGCATAACAAATGAAAAAATGCTACAATCCCATACATTTAAATATTGTTTTAAGTTTAAACATTCTTCTGCTTAAAATAAATGCTAGCGTAACATTTAGCAGTACAGTATACCAGTGTTTTGAGGTATTTCCCCCACATTTCACCAGAGAAGCAGTTGAGTTCATGATGGAAAGTAGTAGTACCATTCAAGATTGGTTGAAAATTGGCTTAACCCTCCGGTATCACTGTGGACGTTTTTGTCCATATGGGTCATTTTTCACTTTTCATTTTGCAATAACTTTGGTTGTGTTGGTGAAAATGACCTGATTTTTGTAACAAGGCTATTTTCTCGATCTATTTTGGAATTCCAATTTCAATTTTTTAAATCGGTCTTTAATTCACTGTGTAACAAATCGACTACGCAAATTAGTCATTCGAGACAAAAATGTCCACTGCAAAAGACTTTGATAAAAACATTATATTAAAAGGTTTTTTTCACAACTTTTTTGGGTTCAATCTTTAAAGCAACTTCAGCCCTACTAGAACATATAAAAAATGTAATAATTTTCCGGATTTTAAAGCCATTTTGAATACATGAAACCGCTGTTTTCTTTCATGATGAAAACAGAGAAAATGAGTTATTTTCCAAAAAATACATATCTGGTGACTGGCTCTTTTTTGTTATCACAGTCTTGGATATGTCAAAGATTAGCAACAACATTGATTTTGGTGGATAATTAGTTTTTGCACAGAATCAGATTAAACAAAAAACTCACACATTAGCCACTCGCGGACAAAAATGTCCCATCCACTCCCATTATAACCACATCTTTTGATCTCTCCGCCATACCGGTATAAAATCATGCATTTTTTAATGTCAGGGTTTTATATTGGAGGAAAATAGTTCAATTTGTCCTTTTTACTCTATATCACCAGATGTGACATTTTACCATTGAATTACATGCTTGTCATTTCTTGGTTTCTTTGCCTGTTGTATAATGGGGCCCTGACAGCCATTGGAATACATGTATGCAACTAAAATGATGTAGGTGTGTTGGTATGGATGTGGAAGAGTGGTATCAGCTGAGAAATGTGTGTGTTTGTGTGTCTGGATGTACAGTGTTGGTTTACAGCAAGTCGCAGTTTTCGTCTCATATCTTTCTTTCTTTCTCTCTCACTCCCTCATTCCCAAACTCATACACACTCTTACATATTAAACTTCCTTATACCTTGTATGTGTGTGAGTGATTGTGTGTGAGAATGAGACAGGACTAAGTGTGCTCTCATGGCGTTTTGTTTTTCATTTGTGCTGTTTCATGTGTCTTTGAGGTAAACAGATGTATGATCTTGACCCAGCTTGACCTCGATGTTTTGAATTGTTTGAACTTCAAAGTCCTTTGATAATGTCAAACAGACATACACAGCGATACATACACTCCTTGAAGTAAATAAAAACACCTGGCTGCAAAGCCAAAGCTTCAAATATGTGTAGTTTGGCTGGATGGTCATTTCATTCCTGTGATACGCAAGCCTTATATACTTGATGTCCTTAACAGTTGCCACATAACAAATATTAAAAGCACTACTTTTTGTTCACTTCACACTTGGTTCTTGTTGATCCAAGTATTTCAAACCTAAAATCTGTGCTCTTTCTTACTTTTCTAATAATGTAACCAAAAACAGACTTACCGCATGCGAGAAGAGCAGCAGCGCTGAGCAGCTGCAGCAGCATTTTTATTTCTGTGTTCACTTCTCAAGGTGTGTTTCTACACATACTAACAACTTCAAGTTTCTTTTCAAAGCCCTCTGAACAGTCTGTGATGTGCTCCCTCTCCCAGTGTTCAAACCTGTGAGCATCTTCTCTTTGGTTCCCCTCTTTTCAGCATCCGGCCGGGTCCAAAGACTGAAAGCAGTAAAACACAGATGACAGACCTCCTCACTCATTTTCTACGTTACAACCTTTATATATAGTCTATGGTTACAACCCACAGCAGTTTGACAACAAATACTGTACATTTGAATTGGTTACAACTATGTTGGAAATGGTGATTCCATTATGTGCAATAAGGATCAAACATTTTAATTGAATTTAACAAAAAGTAGCTTTTGCTAACAATAAAAACAAATAATGGACATTTGTTTTTAATTGAAAGTAATTATCTTTTGCATTTTACTTCTTGCACTTAAGGCACTTACGTAATCAAGGTTAAAGGCCGGACATATTTATTTAAAGCACTTGTTTTTTTGTGTGCCATTTCACTCTTTAAATAAATAAATACTAGTAAATAATTATTGTTTAAATGGTATATACATGCTGTGAGCTGTGTGCAGGGCCAGAAATTAAGTCACTTTACATAGTACAAAATAATAATAATAATGAAAATACAAACACACAGGGGGTAATACCATGTGTCACTTGAACGTAACAGATGTATGTAAACAAATGATTGTATATAAAAAGTGTGCCACTCACATTTGACCCAGTGAAACCACAAAGTCCACAAGAGACTTTATAACAACCACATGTCAACTAATAAACGTTATACTGCCACACCGCTGCCTTCTCCAACCTGTTGTTACAAAACGATAAAAGGCTCATTTGATATCCGATTCTCATTTCATATGTTGCTCAGCAGACACAGCATCAGGAGCTTTCCCCGAACCTACGTTTCAGAAAATAATTATTTTATGAATCTTATTGAGAAAAAATGCACACTCGACAGTTTCAGGTGCGTTTACTCTTTAGTTTAAAGCAGTGTGAGGAGTGACGGGTCATTTAATGCAGTTTTCTGTGAGTCAAATACAGGAGAAAAAAAAGAGGATTCCCAATAATAATCTTTACACAACTTTATTTTCCCAATGTACCAATACCATGTAAATAAAAAGAACAATATGGAAGTAGTGACGAAAAGGAGGAACAACACAAAGCACAGTAACGCTTACAAAAAAAACGTACAAAAGGAGTTTCTGGCTCATTTGCCAACAAAGTTGGCATCAAGTTTTTGTTTTAAGTTTGGTGTAAAAAACGATGTACCATGTTTATAATATGCACCAAAATGATTACCGGCAGGACACAAACTGTGCAATAACAGCTGTTTCTAGTCTAATTGTATATAGCACTTCTGTAAAAGCCATCACTGTCAAACTATTCTGAAAAAAACAAACTGTTGCCAGAAATGATTAATTTTTCCATAGATAGAATAGAAATCGAGTATTAAATAAACATCTTCAAACTTATAACATGAATAACGTGAAATTCTCCATTCAGGACAAAAATATACTCAGACTTCACATCTATTCTAGGAAAATAGTGCACAGCAATGGATTAGATAAGAGTGTAGTAAAGGATAATACCAAAGATACACCTATTTTTATTATTATACAAAATGTCCATATATTAAAATATAGCGCAACCGTCTGCAAACCTCAGCTGCCTCTCTCTCACATCTGAAAGCACTCTGATTAGGATTTCTGACAGTCCAGCTATCGTCAAACACAAATCTTCTCTCTGTACAATAATGTAAAACTGGAAAAGAAGTGTAGAGGCGCACCGTATTGCTCTGATCAGTCCCCGACTCTCAGCCAGTCACACCTCCTCCACTCAGGGTTCAGCAGGCGTTTAACCAGGTTTGCATCGACAGCGTCCTGGAACGCACGTTTTGGTGCTTGGCGTTTGCAGCGGTGAATTCCTCGGACCCGTCGCCTCACACACCTGATTGTCCCGGTCAGTGATTGCTCAAACACATGAACAGGTCAGCTGGCTGCTGCCGATAGATTCATTCTGCACCTTTAAACAGTCTTACTGATTAGCATAAGATCTCAGGAATCTTGGAAATGTTATCGACATCTTATCATCCTATTTCAGAATGGTGCACACGCTGCACTGCAAAAGTTAATCCAGTTTGATGATTTTTCTTTTGTTAAAATCACTTACCTGCCACATATCTGTGAATAATAAAAACAACTGCAATCTAGAAGAAGAAATGCGTCCATACTGGCTTATATACAGTCCACATTCACAATGTGCAGTTAAACCAAATCCCCCAAAACATAACCTTTCATTCTCGAGATGTTAGCATTAAATACTAAATAGTTTCAGTTACTATGTTCCCTTAAAAAAAACGATGTAAAAGGCAGTTAAACAAATACAATACAGTACAAAATACTACATCACTGATTGCAAATAACACCAGCAGGAGTCAAGAAAAAACCCTCAGATTTGTCAGATGTGCACTTCAAGTCAGTCCCTAACATTCCTCCATCACTGTGTGCAAACTGAACGTCTTGCCAAAACAGTTTGAGGCTGGCGTTCAGGGACAGTGACGCAGTGATGTCACTCCGTCACTGTGGGTGTGCTTTGTGCTTGTGCGGTGGTCAGATCTGAAGGAGGCCTGGCAGTCAGTCACCTGGTGGTCAGTGGGGGGGGTCACATGCAGTTGGCCACGTTGCTGGAGCCCTGGCCGACGTCTCTGATCTGACTGACGTGAGACGAGCAGACCGCCACCCCCGCCCCGGCCCGGCAGTGAGACACGGAGCCCACCAGCTCCCACCTGGACAGAGTAATCGGAAGACATGCCGACAGTCCTGACATTAAAGAGGTGTTCTTTAATCTAGCTCTATAACTGGGTCATTGTGGCAAATAAAAGTTAATTATACTGTTTTTCAGGAAGTGTCATCCCATTTGAATGCTCAGGTGACATCATTCAGGAGACTTAACACATCTTTCACCTCAAGTATCTGCTTGGTGGCCTTAACATTGTTCTAATGTGCAGTATGCCTATATCAGGGTTTGTGTTATTTGTTTGTATTTCCAGTTGTTTGTTTCTAAATGAGCATCGCAAAGCCATAAGTTACATTTTAACTGTCGTTGTTTGTGTTTTCTTTTCATGCACTGGTCTCCCTCAGCTATTGTATTATCTAGGTTATTATGCAGGGTGATGCTAACCTTGGCTGATGGGGCACCTACACTTTATTCTGATTGGTTATTGGAGATGATTGATAACACCAAATCGATATATTATCTATAATTAAAGAAATAGCACCTCCTCCTCACCTGTTCATTCGAGGCTCAAAGGCCTCCACCGTGTTCAGGTAGATGTTCCCGTTATGCCCCCCGACTGCGAACACTCTTCCCATCACAGTGGCGACCCCGACCCCCCCCCGCGGGGTGGTCAGCTCGGACACGTACTCCCAGCGGTGCATTCGTGGGTCAAAGCGCTCGACAGAACTCAGCGGTGAATTGTCATCGAAACCACCTTCAGGAAATACGAGGAAGACAATTATTAAAAAATCCCAAAACTTTTGTGAAAAAGCTCAAATGGATGGTTTTAAATCACACGAAAAAAATAACAAAGTGGCAAACAAAACGTTTAGGTGCAACAACGATGAAGTTGTTTATAGTGCAGGCACGGGATAAGATGATTTCAGCTACTGTCCAGGCACGACGCCTCAACAGATGTTTTAATGGACCTTGAATAACTCTTCAAACTCCAGTGGTACAATAAAAATCAAATCCTCACACTCTGTTAATGAGTCTCCAGCTGGTTTTACAAAACATGAACTTTTGCCTTCCTGATTCACGCATTTGTGTATATAATTGTAGGGTGTGTATCTAGGAGGCATGTGACTTTGGTTTATAGAAAAACTCCAGTCACAGCAGTTCAAGCAGATGTAGACAGAATACATCTGGAACTACAATGTGTGGTAACAACAATATCTGGCTAGTGATCAGTTCTGCTTTTGTTACGGGCATTTGGAGTTCATCTTTATGTATTCTTCTCACCCACTACGTAGAGGCAGCCGTTCAGCTTGCTGACTCCGTTTCCCGCCCGGCGTTGGCCCATCTCGCTGACCTCGGTCCACTTGTTGAGGTGGGGGTTGAACCGCTCCACGCTGGACAGTGACGCCACGCCATCGTTGCCTCCCACTGCGTACATAAAACTCTGGCACAAGATGGAAATATGAGTGTTAGTACAGACATTACAACTTTTGACTTTTCAAGGACAGTCAAGCCGAGGGTCAGTATGCACGATAAGCTGCGCACATATAAACACACGTATATGTTCTCTGACAGACAACACTGAGGGCACAGAATCTCACAATGAATGTTTCTCAAGCCATCACGTGACACATGGCAGGGTATTCTGCCTCAGTCACTTCACAGTGAATACAAGCCGTAGTAATGAAAACGCCTCTTTACTTTGTAAAGGTCCAAGAGTGAGTGCTTGTGAAGTGCTACTTAATGAACAAAACTTTGGTCAACATATAAGATACAGTTATGAGGTTCATTTGAATTCCACGGACCGTATTCTTTATTCTTTAGGTCACAACTCACTCACTTTAAGCACCTTTTGCAAACCCTTTAGAAAGCAGTAAAGTCCAGAGGAGAGATGATATATCTTTCGCAGCTGATGGCCCTTCTTTGCGGTCTTACCCCCAACGCCACGGATCCCACTCCTCCTCTGGGCGTGTTCATCGGAGCCACAGCGCTCCAGCAGTCGCCCTCGATGTCGTAACGCTCCACATCGTTGAAGCAGGAGTTGTCGTCCAGCCCTCCGATAGCGTAGATAGGACCACCGAGCGCTGCCAGGGCTATACCCCTCCTGAGAAACACACCTGACCTTGCTCAAAGCTGTATTTCTGCTTGGTACCCAAATACTCTTAGTACACTAAATGCATACGGTACATAGCAGTTGGAAAAAGGAACATTTTCAGAGTCAACCGGATGAGAGAAAATAGGATTTAGAGATCAACAGGAGGGTTTTGAAGAGGTCAAGCTGTGAGTGTAAAGAAAAGTACACATTCTAGGCTTTATGTATTTAAATATATTACATATTTTCAATGACTTTGTCCAATGAAGTGGATTTGGCCACCCATATTATCCTACTCATTTGGTCAGTCAAATAGTGTCATTATTAAGGCGGAGAATTGCAACAATATAGAGATGATTATCTTCTTTAGACTCTTTTGAAACCGAAAAATAAAGCACCTAAAACTGGAGATTGTAAATATCACTGCTACCAAGTACCAGAACATTCATTTGTATATACAAAGGTTTTGTTTTTCTTAACCAAACTGCAGCCCAAAATGGCGTTTTAGATGCATCCTCTGGAGTTTCTTTTGTGTTCAGAATGTAAATGGGAGAAGAAATGGTCAGAAAGGACCGCACATTGTAGCGTCTGCGTACCTCTTGGTGTTCATGGAGGCTTTCATCATCCACTTGTTGGTGAGGGGGTCAAACATCTCCATGTTGCCCAAGTGTTCGGTACCATCATGGCCCCCGACAGCATACACCTTGCCTAAAGAAACAGACAGTAATAAAAGAAGGAAGTTAAGTCTAAATGATCATGTGACCTGACCATGGATAATGCTTTCATTCGGTAAGTTCAAAAGGTCAACTGGATTCACTTAAGTGTGTTTTCCAGATTCCCCATAAACCTTTTTCTTTGCAAATTAGGGCTAGCATTTATAGAGGATATTCTTAAAACCTTAAATGTCAGGGTAAAGCAGTAGAC